CTAATATAATCGCCTATATTTATACTACGTTTTATTCAGGATGGATAGAGAAAAAAAATTATATCAAGAAGCCTTTACTTCTTGGTATGTTTTACTATATCTCTTGCTATCCTTTTAGTTTTTCAATTGAGTACTTTTTAACTTTATCTATGACAAACATAAAGTTTTTATTTCTTTTTATAATTTTAATTTACAATAAATAATGAATCTGTGTATCAAATTTAAAAAAAAATCATTTAGTGATAACAATTGCGAGCCAAACCAAATCAGATGAATTCTGATGAAACGTAACGGTTACTTGTAACAATCTTTCATATTTTTTTTGTATGTCTAGTGATATGTTTGTAATTGGAGTCCTCAGACTAACAGGCAGACAGTAGTGTAGGTACCTACATACTCATATTTCTGAGATAAGATCAGGCAACATAATATAGCAACTAATATTATCTATTAGGCGGGAAAGAAGTGTTTGTAATTAGATTGATAATCCCTATTGCTAGCAATATAATAGGTCCACCTCCTGAAGTTCACCTATAAAAACTATCGTCATAAATTCCTAGTGAATTCGCCACATTGGATCAAGTAACTTGAATTCATCCTTATTGGGTGCACAATTATATATATATATATATATATTTGATTATTGAATCGTCATACTGAAGAACTGGTCAATCATCGAATGTTATCGAAAATCACACGTATTTATTTATGTATTTATTAGTTATAAAATTTTATATATATATATTTATTTATTTCTATATATATATATATATATATATATGTATATAGTGTATTTATCACCCATTCAATACATCTACTATTTATATAGTACTAATTATTATATACTACTAAGCCTTTCCTACCAAACAGAACAACCATGCATACATTTCCTAACTGAAATTTCTTGGAATAATACCGACGTAAATAGCTAGTAGTAGATATCTTATGAATTTCTGCATACATAAAACATTTACTCGTGATTAAAGAACATAATATTGCTTGTTTCCGTTGTATTGCGTATTATACGTAATTATATGAAATTCCATATAATATTACCTATGAGTAATAAATTGAACTTATAAGAAAATAAAATATTTAAAAGTTAAAGATAGTATTTTTTTAATATATGATAATGGAATAGTAACCCCGCCTGCGCTAACGGCGCATTCTCACCATAATATTTGTTCTAGCCAATAATTAATATTGTTTAAACGCAAATAAATAATTATTCCTCAAGCGTGGCTATTTATGATAAATCCTGTATTCTACAACACATAAACTCGATTAACGGTGATAACCAGCCAACTCGGGTATGATAATTTAAAGCTATTAATTTGCATTGTTCATTTGTGACGCATAAACCGTATCTACTATCAGAAACCAGACACGAAGTTATACAATAACTAGCTGTTTCCCGCGGCTTTATTCGCATGAGTCAGTACATAAGCTATATGTTAAATTAGGAATATATATATAATAATATAGCATATACATCATAACCTTCAAGAAAAGTGCATATTCCTTTTTAAAAGGCCGATAGCACAATTGCAATGCCTCTGGTGTTTTGCGTGATCATGGGTGGCGGTTGTCACTTACCATCAGGTAAGCCGCACGCTCGTTTGCTCCCTGTGTTATAAAAAAAGGATATAACCTCCCCATGTACCAATCTTCATTTTAGCGTGACTGAGTGACAGTTATCGAAACACCTTTTACCAGAGGGAGACTTTGTACAAAAGTCGATTGCTTAGGTACCTCTGTCCCATTCGTGTTTCTACCGTGAAGCAGTTGTGTTTGCATGGCTGTGTTTCGGTATGAAGGGTGGGATATGGCGTGAATTTACAGGGTACAGAGGTATAACATCTGAGTCCTCAGGAATGGTAACGCATGGGAGGTATCATGGGCGAAACAGTATACTCTGTTATGTCCATGGCACCGTTCATGTCTATAGGCGACGGTTACCACATTCCATCAGGTGGGCCGTCAACTTGTTTGCCATTCTACGTTGTATAAAAAAAAAAAAACCTTTACAAACTTTCATATTTATATTTTTATTGCCGGGATAAATCCAAAAGTTTTAATTGTCTAAAAATTTAAAATAATATTCCCTTCTTATGGTGGAGGCCTATTTTTAACAGAGGACAGTTAACGGCTGATATGGTATGCTATGTTAAATAAATATTTAACAAACAATAAAATTAATTGAGTGGTATTTAAAAGGCATCCTTATGTCCGAGTAGACATATTTATAATTATTACACGAACAAAATATGGCAGTCGTGATTAAATATACATTTAATGGAATTGAAATCAATCTGCAATACTAACAGATACTTGTAGAAACGGATTCGATATTTACATAAGTACATAAATTGATACCAATAGGTATCAATATATAGGTAGTAATTTATAAGCTACTAACTTTTTGTACTATTTTAAGAGTAGAATTTATTACAATTGAAGGTTTTTGTTTAAAAAAAAATCAATTTTTTTTAATGGATAATAATGGAATGGTAACCCCACCCACGCTATCGGTATACACCGGCGGGGCACCAGTGAAGGATGATAGGTGAGGATGAAGTAGGTCAGTTAGCCCATCGTGACGACTCCAACAAGAATTGTTCACGATGGTTTTCAGGGGGAACCACGTGGAAGTCGACCTAATAAGGCATATTGCTAGCAATGGGGCTGTCAAACTCTATTGCTAACAATCCCTTTCCCCCCAAAGCAAATATTTGAATATTGAATAAATCAATATAGGAAATCAATAGGTTAAAAGAAAAAACATAGTATGGATTAAAAGAATCATGAACAATAGGTTCAAACTTGACTAAGAAAATCGCGTAATATTACATAAAATTCTTACTAATATCATAAATATAAAAGATAGTTTGTTCGTTTGATAGTTGATAGTGCCTTAACGGCTTAACCAATCAGTAAAGAGGTTTCTTCAGGATCGCAACGCACGCGTAATACCTCTGGTATTACAGGTGTTCATAGGCTACGGTAACCACTTACCATCAGGTGGGTCGTATGCTTGTTTGCCACCTCAGTGGTATAAAAAAAAGTATGAACTTTGGTGTACACGTATTATATGGGATGGAGAATAGTATAGTTAGTTTTTAATTGAGGTCAGTAAACATATCTCACGACATATGTTTATAACTTATAAGTCAGGAATAAATATTTATAAAAAATATTATATCAGCCTTTAATTGTCCACTGCTGAACATGAGCCTCCCCCTTGGGGGATTTTGCCAGTAGTTGCCACGCTTGGCAGGTGGATTAACAACCGCAGTTAGGCTTTGTAGATGTTTTAAAAGGGACGCTGCTGCCCTTAAGTCGCCCTCCGTTAGTCGTCTCTTACAACACCCAAAGGAAGGGGTGGCCTATTCTATGCCTGGACCATACGGAACGAAATAAAAAAAAATAACATTATCTAATCTATGTTCTGAACCATTGTTCTGAAATGAAGACGTTCTCAATTCTTGTATATTTTTGTGTCACACACATGTTTTTTTTCTTTTCAATGTCCTCTACCCAAAGGTTGTTTGAAAGACATTGCTTAGCGATAAGGCCGCCTTTTGTATCACTTTCCATTAAAATTAAATGTATTTATTATTTTATAAATGGTGAAATAAAGTGTAAATTAAATAAATAAATAACATAATTAATTGTCAACTCGTTTACGATTTTGATAATTAATATTATATTAATTTTATTATGATTGAATACTGTATATTTCGTGTAGCTAAATCTTATGTTAATTATTATTTTATTAATAAATGCTTTAATTACTCAGTGTTGGAATTTTTTTTTTATGCAACACATTTTTAATGTGGGTACCTACTAATACTGGTATAATTTTATATTATCTGTGGCGTAGATAACATTATGCAAAAAGAATAATTTAAACACAAATGTTAACACAATATGGTGGATTTCTGAAAGACTCTATTTTGCATATCCAGTTTAATGCATTGAAAGGACAAGACAAAGCTTTGAGACAATTTCCAATAGTTAACTTCAAGGTAACAGAACACGACTGGATCTGAATGCCATGTAAAATGTCCACAGACAAACCTACAATACCTAGGTATAAGACAAATGTGCTAATGGTACTTACATAGATATTTAAAACTATGAAATGAAAATAGAAGTCTAACTCCAGTCCTAATATAATTTTCATAGTGGTGAGGGTATTTGAAAATTTTAATTTATTGTCTAAATGCTCTTTTTCAATGTACCCTTTTGAAATCATAATGAGTAAAATGCCGACGCTTTTATTTAATACTGGACCTATTTTTCCTAAAAATATGTGAAAAATTTAAATAGTAACATATAATGTCTCTTTCACTCTTCGAGTTTTTACCATCCTTGAGGATTCTGTACATTAAGTTAATAAATATATCTATCTATTAATTTTTTAAAATATTTTAAACAGGGCGTAAATAATACAAATTATATTACATATAGAAAACTTAGTAATTTATCCTACCATTATTCTATAAATAAAAAAAATCAAAGATATAATTAATACTTTGGGTTGTATTCTTAAAATTTTCGTACAAATCTCTAATTTTTCAAAAATAACACATATATAGCCTATGTCTCTCGCTTTCTACAGCAATATTTTAAATCAGGCAAATAGTTTTTGGGAACCGTTACACGCAAATACACATACAAAAAACGAAATCTTTTATATTATGCTACTAGAAGGCATAAGAGATACTATAAAATATTTTATTTAATATATCGTAAGTACCCAGTAGCTGCAAAAAATGCTGACCAACTATAAAATTGCAAAAGAAGCGTAACACACTATCCAGTCATATACAACTAAAAACAAGATATTTAATAACACTGCGGTGACAATTAATATAATAAATTAGTATTGTTCTCCGTAAGTGTCATATAGCCCTTCAGTGTCGCGTTACAGGCATGACGTGACAAGAAATTCAATTTAGTTCATTTGTGCCGTGACATCAGACTGAGGCATCACATCTCTATATTCAAACGCGAGCTGAAAAACAAAAGACAAATAATCTACCATGACCATGGCATAATTAGTTCCATGCATGAATCACAACATCGATAACGAAATAGGAGAAGACAAAACATTTAAATATTTTAAGTGTAACTCTGTAAGACAGCCGAAGATTACTAATTTTAGAATTTTACATTACCTTTTGTATGTGAAACTTTAAGAAGTTAGCTCGTGATTGTGATTTGGCTCAGGTTTGATTTTATTATTTTTGTGTTCTTAAAAATCTTTTTATTAAAAATGTATAATATTTGGATTACATGACGCCCGGTTGATATCATTATTGTCCACATCTGAAAGTAGATCTTCCTTATAAACTGTCTAACGAAATGATTCTGAAGCCTCTGCTTCCGCTGACTCTTTGCAACATATTTAAGGATATGTCCTTAAATATGTTATGTTTATATATTATATGTTTTTATTATGGAATCAATACAATTAAATTTAGCGTTGACTGTATAGTATATATACAGTCTACGCTAAATTTAATTGTATTGATTCCATAATAAAAATTATAATCGGGGTTCCTTACTACATTCAACTTCAAACTAAAAAAAACTTCTAAATTGGATCATCAGTAATTTGGTTGCAATATTGATAAATATTTTATTTAAAAAATTTAGGATTCTTTTATTTCAGTCCCATACAAATATCAAAAATAAATTTATTAAATTTTATTTTTTTTCAGCTCGGGGACGAGCTACCAGCTCAGCTGGCTGAGCTCGGCTTACGTCCTCGGAAGATGGCCCAGCCATCATATACTATCCGCAGAATTACTTCCGAAGACACCGATGCAGCTCTCCAGTTCCTCAGAAAGTGAGTATAATATTCTTTATTATAAAACAATTAATGAGAGTAAATTTTAGAATTACGGCAACAGCATACTTCGATATTTAAATATGTTTATACAACAAGTAATGGCAAATAAGCTGACAGTCTGCCGGATGTAAAATAGTAATTATCGCCTAAAGACATAAACAGTATCGTAGTCCTAGCTATCGCATAGTAAATTATGACGCCCATAGTATCCCTCATGCTTTGGTATTCCTAAGGAATAAGATTCTGAAAAGTCTGTGTTCTAGTGATTTGAGAGATACTATAGGTAGCAAAGAGTGTCCTGTGACAACCATAAATATAGTATAACGTACTATCAGGAGACAACCATGATTTTAACCAATCCAGACTATTGGCTTCTAACTCTTAGATTCGATACTTTAAAATGACTGTTTTTCCATAGAGTATGTTCTATTTAAATTGTGCCTTATTAATTAATATAGACGATATAGTGCAAACAAAGGTTATTAAAAAATATATAGTCCTACTGCACACATGTCAACTGACCTGCAACTCATTAGATCTAATACTGCGTACTAGGGGGAAAGGGATTGTTAGTAATGGGGTCTAACTGATCCATTCGACCTCCACGCGGTTCACCCTGGAAACCATCGTGGTTAATTCTAGTGCAATTCGTCACGATGGGTTATAACTGACCTGTTTTTATCGTCACCTATCATCCCTCACTGGTGCCCCGCCAGCGTATACCTCTAACGCTGTCGGGGTTGTCATTTCTTTATTACCCATTAAAAAAAATGTGTATCTAGTACGCAGTGTACTAGATACACCTGCCGCCTACCGCCGATAATACCGCCTGTACTATTGGTTATGTACGCTGACGTTGCACCAGTGCGAGGTAATAGCTGATAAAGGTAGATCAGTTGTCTTATTGTGACGAATTCACTAAGAATTGACCATGATGGTTTCTAAGGGGAATTACGTGGAGGTCGCCCTGATATGGTACTTGTATATTGCTAGCAATAGGGACTCTAGTCCCCATTGCTAACAATCCCTTCTACCCTTTCGATGCTACAATCATATCTTACTAGGGAACATTACACAGTCCCCTCCCCCCAAAATCATTAATTCCTGATATCACGATGAGCCAACCGATCTGACTTTATTCTCCTTCATTATACTGGTGCACCGCTAGCGTATCTCAATAGAGCAGCAGGGTTACCACTATTTTCATCCATTAAAAAAAAAACGAAATGTACTGATTTTGTCGAAAATGTACACAGAAAACTTCAAGTAGCATCTATCATAGCAAAGTCAAGAAGGAGTTGCCACGTGTATCTAGGTCTTTATATAAGTTTATAAAGTACCTGTGAATAAATAACCAATAATCAGGTGTCTACAGACAGATGTTTATTACTATTTAATTATCATGTCAAACAAACATTTAATTATAAATTAAAACCGTTTACATTTATTAAATTAAATTACTGGTAAAACCTTATCTGATACAATGCAGCAATTTCGTATAATTATTATTTCAAATGCATGCAAAACTTATTATAATTCATATCAGAATATAGAATTATGAAAACGTCAATAAGAATTCTGTTTTATATCTAAGCACAATATTATATTGAAAATTATTAGTAATTAATTATTGTCAAGTGCTAAATACACTACAATTAAAATGTTAACGAAGTTTTAATTATACATAAATATTTAAAATCATGGCCAGTAACATTATTTGTATACGGATTACATAAGTATTGAGGTTTTGAAAAACGTCTATCTATTAATAAGAATAACTGAGAATCACGCAAAAAAATTAATATACTTAAATTAACCAGAGGGAGACTTTGTACAAAAATCGATTGCTTGGGTACCTCTGTCCCATTCGTGTATCTACCGTGAAGCAGTTGTGTTTGCATGGCTATGCTTTCGACTCTTAAATAACTTTACGCTACTTTATTTTACTCTACTAGCGTATTTTGTTCAGTTTCCAAAATTATTTTTTGAATAAATATTTATGTGAAGTAAACCGTGTAAAAAATATGTCCAATTGTTTTAATTTTTTATCTATTTTCAATTATTATATTAGGCGTAATAATATAACTCATATTGACTTTATTATTTTTGTCTACAGTTTTTTCTTCCTTGACGAACCTATGAACTTGGCAGTAAATTTGCTAGAGACACCAGAGTCACGATGCATAGAATTAGAAGAGTATTCAATGAGCTCCATCAGCCAGGGAATATCAGTTGCAGCTGTCGATGAGAAAGGAGAATTCGTGGGTGTCGTCATCAACGGCCTTGCTAGGAGAGAGGTATGGACATCATCATATGTATTAGAATCCTGAATACCCATTTTGCAATTTTTTTTTTTTGGAAATATTTTTATACCAGGTTCCTACAGAATAAGCAAAGGAAACTAAAAGCCAAAAGAACAGAAAATGTATTAAACCACTATATAAATTAACCTTGAGTTAATGTATAAGTTAAATATAAATATATAAAATTAAATTTAAAGTTTATACAAATACAAAAAAATCTTTTCATCGCATTTTTCTTTGCGGAGTTAACTCTCGCTTGTGGTAGAACAAAATATACTTACTTGTAAATCAATGCATGCTAAATCCAAATCATCATAATTATATCAGCCTTTAACTGCCCACTGCTGAACATAAGCCTCTCCCTTGGGGTGTTTTGCCAGTAGTTGCTACGCTTGGCAGGCGAATTGGCAACCGCTGTTAAGCTTTAGAGACGTTTTAAAAAGGACGCTGCTACCCATCCCTCGCCCTCCCTTAATCGCCTCTTACGACACCCACAGGAAAGGAAGGGGTGGCCTATTCTATGACGGAATCACATGGCCATAAATCCAAATATGCTCAATAAATTGAATCGACAAGACATCTCGTCTTTCACTCGATCGGTGAATTTGGTCACAAAAATTTATATTTTTCTTGCGGAGTAAAATTTTCTTTATAATATTTTCAGTACTACAAAAAAATCTTTGACTTGACATGAGAGTGTCGCCCTATAAAAACAAGAGTTTCTAGGCCACCTTCGTTATGCACGAATGTGCCTGACGTGGCTAACGGATATAATCTCATATCACGATTCAATACACCAGTTGTCAGGTCGATACGCCATCCTTAGGTGTAGGTACCTATAGGTAGTATAAAATAATAATAGCTCAAGCACTTCCGTGCAGGTGGTGATTTAATGTTGCAATCAGGTATTCTATTAATAATTCACATTGTCTACACACTTGTCTACAGTAGCTGACCAAATAGTCGCATAGCAACCTTTTACAAGGAGGTATGCACTCACCATTTATAGATAGATAGAACTAAAACCTAATTAACATAATGATATGGAAAATTTTTATTTTATGACATGATAATTTCTTAGTATTACCACAAATTTATGTTATTATTAAAAACAAATTATTAAGAACTAGCTCTGATCCGCAACTTCGTCTGCTTGACCGAGACATGTTTACTAACTGGAATAAAAAGTAGCTTATGCCCTTCAATATCTGATATAGTACGGTATACCAAATTTCATTCTAATTAATTAAGATGTGAAATCGTTAAAAGATGAACAATCAAACTCACTTTCATATTTATAATATTATCAAGGCTAATAAGTAACAGACTAAATTGTTATTATAATAATATTGTTATTATAACAATAAACAATATACCAAGTCACTTGGCAAGCTTAGTATTAGGAAGATAATTATTATTTGCATATACTATATACTACACAATCACAATTTTCGTGTGGTCCCGGCACAGAATAAGCCACCCCTTCCTTTACCGTGGATGTCGTAAGAGGTGACTAAAGGAACATAATGGTCCAGAGATGGGAGAGCAGCTACACCTATCACCTGGTCCTCAAATTACAATACCCTGTGTTATGAGGAACCAAGCAACGAACATCTAAAAGCACAATTCAGAACACTCAGGCCTAATTAAGAAAAGTTCGTTTGCTTGGCCCGATCTGACATCAAACCAAGAACCTGATCTACACAAAGCAAACCACAGCGCTACGGAGCTCGACAATATCTTATGGAAATCACTGCCAAACATGAATTATATTTTATTTAACTTCTTCAGTTTAAAAATGTATTTCCACATTAAAATCACGAGAATAAAATCGTGAAGAACGATGGTGTGATAAGACCTTACTTGTTATAAAAATCACGTTTCTTGTAAAATACGAAACCAAGACAAAATGCATGATCATAATGTAAATGATAATTAACATTGTGTCTAATTTAAAATATGACAATGTCAATTTCGTAAATAACCGCAGTTTGACTTTTGGCGATGTTTTAAGAGGGACGCTACTGCCTATCCCTCCATATTAAGCTCCCTTAGTCACCTCTTACGACATCCACGGGAATGGAAGGGGTGGTCTACATGGCTAAAATCTTTATTCTAAAAACCAATATTAACTTATTTTCTAATAGATTTAAGTCAATATTATTAAAACTTTAGTTTATGATGGTCCATGAAACAGTAATTTCACAGAATTATAGTTCTATGGCCCCAATTCCGGATTTTCAGCGTTTTAAAAATCTGTACTTAGTAGTAAATATTTTGGTTTGTTTAAATGAGATTTCGAGTTTGATGTTTCTGGTTCGAATTGGTTTAGTAAATGAATATTTATAAATTAACTTAGACTACACCCGTATATTGTCGTGAGATCCCGCCATAGAATGGGTCACCCCTTCCTTTCCCGTAAAAAATATGAAATATATATGATAGTAACAACAGCCTGCTCATTTACTGACTTTCAATGATCATTATCCTCACTGAAGGCAAAACATTTAAGTTCATAACCCAAAATACTGAGTCTCGTCATTATCATCCACATATCAGCTATTAACTGTCCACTGCCGAACATAGACTTTCCCCATAAGGAGAGTTTTGCCACTAATTGCCACGCTTAACTGACGGATTGGCACCCGCAGTTAGGTTATAGCTTCATTTCTTTTTACTTTTTAAAGAATGTATACAACGTCTTAATCAACAAAATCCTTAAACTTAATGCTAGTGTTTATTAATAGGATCTCAAATTTAAAAAAAAATCTGGAAAAAAGTACAACCTGTACCTGTACCAATGGCACTACGTTATTGTGTATATATATACCTTGGACAGTGTAGTGTGTTACTTTTTTTCTAAGGCCCTATCCTATTATTGAATACTAATATCAGTTTTAATTAAAACCGTATATATATTTCTAAAAGCAACAAGAGACACAGAGAAAAAAAAACACCATAAACTAAATGACTCGGCAACTAGAACCTACCGTAACTTATTGTTTGTTTTTTTCCTTCTAAAATTGATTCGTATTTGTTATTAATAGCACAGTCATTTAGGTATCTGTGATATAAATATCTAATTATGTCAAGGTTCGAGATAGGAATATAATAAACGAAATAACTTGTTATTATAAAATACAAAATAGCATTATGACATTTTATTATAAAATCCACCATTTATTACATCACGAGATGATGATGATATCAGCTGCTAATTATCGACGCTAATTATCCACGGAACCTTGGGGAGCCTTGGGAGGTTTTACCAGTAGTTGCTACGGGCGCCAACAAGTTGTTAAAAATTCCAAACTTTGAACGAAAAGACTTAGTACACAATTACTTCATTTCATTTCAACCGTCAAATGTCCACTGCTAAACATAAGCCTTCCCCATAAATGGAGTTTTGCCAGTAATTACCACGCTTGGCAGGCGAGTTGGCAACCGCAGTTAGACTTTTAGAGATATTTTAAGAGGGACGCTGCTGCCCATCCCTCTACTATTAAATTCTTTTAGTCGCCTCTTACGACGCTCACAGGAAAGAAAGGGGTGAGCCTATTTTATGTCGGGACTAAACTTAGTACATACTGAAACAAATGAAATAAAACTTTGTAATAAAAATGTTATTTGAAGCAACTTCCGAAAGGAGGAGATACTCGATTTGTCTGTATTTTTTTCTGACTATGTGAGTGACTACTTTGTTAATTTTGTACTCAATCGTTAGAGTCACAATTAAGTCCTAAACATTTTTTTGAATGAAAAATGTTTAGCACTTAATTGAATATATATCATCAGATAATTATAATAATAATAATGACTTTATTGCATAACCATGACTGTAACAAACTCAGCACTAGAAATTAAATTAAAAGTAGGTAAAAATTCATTTGTACATTTGGATCAGTTTAAACATCTGTGTCTGAACTAGGTTATAAAACCTGTATCTCAAACAACAGCGCTCAACCCTCATTAGATAATATAATATTTGCTCAGCAAATTTTTCAATGCTACATATACAATGTTGATTTTATATAAAGTTAATTCATCAAATTATAACTATTACTAGTAATGAAAATTGTGAAAAAACAAATAACCCAAATCGTGAGGTTTGCAACACATTGGATAATGTGCAACATATGATATCCAAATGTAAAAATTACAATACAGAAAAAGAAGCATTAGATACAGAAATATAGTGTAAATAGACCGATATCTTGTCTACTTTTAAACATACTCGCAGATTCATATTCCAAAACGACAAAATCTTTAAACGCTGTATTTCTATAAAAATGATTTCCTCCGTTTTAGTTTGGCAAATCAATAATTAAGGTAAGTGTATGATGGGGCAGACATATCTTTATAAGATAAAGGCCTTTAAATAAAAATTATTAAAAAAAAATACATCGTCATCTATGTATGTGAACTCAATGGTTAATAATTAATTTGATTGTTGTTGTTCTAGAAGATATTTTTTATGAATATGAATTATGTAATTTTGTGTTTGTCTGTGTATCTTATCATTTATCGATGTATTTTGATCATCACCACGCTCTTTGCAAGGCAAAGTGTAGTTATTACTACTTACCAATGTATAATTTATAAATAATATAACCGTATGTTAAAAACATGAAATTTAAACTAAGAGCATATTTTCTGTCCAAACCTGATAAAACAGCAGAATAATAATGTCAGTACTTGCTTATTTGAGAAGAAAATGTAAAGTTCCACACACAAGCCCAAGAGGTTTAAGTGATACTAAAATTCTTAAGTTTTTGTATGTATTCGCATGTTAATTAAATAATTAAACTAATAATAAATATACGAGGCAACGCTTCGAAATACGTTCAACTATAAAAAATATGTACAACGCAAAAATACATAATTAACAAAACGAGTACATCAATTTATCTCGGTCTCAAGGACTAAAAGGAAAGGGTTACGCTTGACCAGCCGATGTGCTCCAATGGTTCCCGCGATCGATCCGTTCTTTAATATCGCAATTAGAGAAAAATGCGGAAAATCACTAACTCTTCTAAAACTTCTTATCAATGCAAATAAAATGCAAGTGCCTATGATTACAAACTACATGTAAAGAAATAATACATCAAACAAACGTCGCTGCTGGTTGTAGTTTTGTAACTACGTCTCGACCATGGTATTGTTAATTCCGCATGCGCTATCGATGGATGCTGGCGGGGCATCAGTGAGTGATGATATATGAAAATAAAAGTTAGCCAATCGTGACGAATTTAACAAGAATTAAGCACTATGGTTTCCAGAACTGCATTGAGGTCAAGCTAACAGGGTATTTCGATAGCAATAGGGTCACTAGTTCCCGTTACAAATAATCCCTTTCCCGCATCATCTTACCACAGATAATATAAATACTATCTTATCTATTTATACAGATTGCTTCATGGTTCAAGCAACAATACCTGCACTATAGTGATACTTTCAGAGTGTTGCGTTACCCTGGTCAGAGATATTTTTTAAGATTGAGTTGAAGACTTTACACACTTGTGTCACGTTCCCTTTATGTCTCAAGTATTTACCCAAACGACACTGGATAAAAATATTATAAATCTGTCTTTATAATAATTATTACAGATAAATTTATTATAAATGTATGTATGTATAATTGGCTTGTATTTAGAAATAAAACGAATATTTTATATACTCAAAACTCCTTTAACAAGTTTTCGTAAAACACGTCTCCAGCACTTTTTATCAGCATATTTATTGTCTATAATAATACTATTTTATTACTTTACGCAATGACATTTGCAGATAGATTCTAGAAATAGATTGTAAATCAATCATAATAATATACATATGTGTACTTAGATATATAATAGTTGTTTGTATTCGAATACATTTATTGTATACAAAAACTAGTTTATGGTCATATACACCCATCTATAATGGTAGTTGTTCATACTGGTTCACATTAAATGTTTATGTCAATAACAGTTATAGTATTACTGTTATACTTTTGGCAACCTTGCGATCAAATTATGTATGTTCACTTTAGGTGATTCATATCGATATACAAACGTTTCGTATTTGTCGTTTAATTGTTGTTTTTCATCCATATTAATTTACATACAAGTCTAAAAAACAAGTTTGATGATATGAAAATGCAAATTTTCAATGTAACTTGTTGCTAAATTAACCGTTCGATCCTATCAGAAAATATGTTTAAAAAAATATTTATTTTATTGTATAATAAATAAATAGTTTTAGGATGAACTACTCAAAGTGACCAATTTAGAAACCTGCAGCATGAGAATAATAAAAAAAAATCTAAGGTACTAACACTGAAACTTTATTTATACATCGTTTCAGGAAGTAGACTACACAGACAAATCTGAAGACTGTCCAAATGAGAAATTCAGACGTATCCTGAAGGTGTTAGAGCACTTGAATCGAGAGGCTAAGATCTGGGAGAAACTTCCAGAATCATGTGATAAGGTCATTGAAGTCAGAATAGCCTCTACACACTCAGCTTGGCGCGGAAGGGGTCTGATGAGGGTACTCTGTGAAGAATCTGAGTATGTATACTTACTTTATTTAAATAACTACTGTTACTTATATTTATTTAATGAGTGAAAACGGAATGGTAACCCCGCTTGTGCTATCGGTATACACCGGAGGGGCACCAGTAGAAGACGATAGGTGAGAATGAATGCAGGTCAGTTGGTTCACCGTGATGAATTCGACAAGAATAAATCATGTTGGTTTCAAAGGGGAACCGCATGGATGTCGACCTGAGAGGGTATATTGCTAGCAATAGGGCTATAAGCTCTCATTACTAACAACTCCTTTCCCCCATGTTACTCATATTAGACTATCTCCCTTTGGTATCAACAGCCTAGACTGCCTTATTTAGATATGAAGAGCTTTGACTTGGCTTACTCGATGGTGACTTTACGTACCCTCCGAAACAAAAAGCGAGTGACAAACATTTTTAACTGACTTCAAAAAGAAAGAGGTTCTCAATTCGGTTGGATTTTTTTAATGTTTATATGTCATAATTCTGTCAGATGTAAACCGATTTGCAAATTATTTTCTTGTCTAAAAGGAAAATGTAATCAAAATCGGTTCCTTAGTTTAGTTTTTAGACTAAAATAACCGGGTTTGTCACAATTGAAGTCGTTTTTTTTGGGACATAATTGTTAATTACTATTTAATAGAATATAATATATATATATTTTTATACAACTTAGAATGGCAAACAAACTGATGGCCCACCTGATGGGAAGTGGTAACCGTCGCCTACAGACATGTGCTGTACCATGAACATGACAGAGTATACTGTTACGCCCATGATACGCCCCATGCGTTGCCATTTCTGAGGACTCAGGTGTTATTCCTCCGTACTCAGTAAATTCACGCCATATCCCATCCTTCAAACCGAACACAGCCATGCAAACACAACTACTTTACGGTTGAAACACGAATAGGACAGAGGTATCCAATCAATCGACTTTTGTACAAAGTCTCCCTTTGGTAAATATATAATATATATAGAGTATAATTAAATAATATAATATAAATCACAGATAAATCATTTTAAATCAAAATAACTGGTTCTGCTGCTTCTGGTTTTGAAGTCTTTTTTTGTTAAACACAATTTAATAATTAAAGAATCCTAACATGAATTTAAAAAAATCAGAGGTTTACACTACGGTCCAATTTTGAGATCTCCAAAATACAGTCAATTCGTCTGATAAAATTCATAGCTATAAAATTTAAATATCTTTGTTTTAACGAAGATTCACAGGTTTCACAGGCAATTGATGTAATTATATGAAAAAAAAAATAATAAAACAAATTAATATCGTCTTAATTACGCCAAAAAATAACACATCTTGTATAATTATGCAATAATGGACTCGTTTATTAGAATTATACCTGTTATACTAGTTATTACAGCACAATACAAAATCAAGGCAACGCCATACTGACCCAGAGAGCAACGTCCAACCTTAGCCGTGGCTCTTGAAAACATGTTTGTATTTGTAAATAAAATGTTTAACAAAAACGGATGCGTAGCTAAATTTTGACAATATTCGTGTAAGTAATATAGTATCAAATGCACTAATGCGTAAGTTATGACAGAAGATAAAGGGTCACAATTAATATAAATTGCATGTTCCATATCTCGTGTGCGCATACTATCATTAAGTCCTTCGTACTACTGTCACATGTGGATATACTAAGTATCCATACAGAGCCCAAGCTACATACAAGCGGCGATATTGTGTTACATCCCATAACAATGGGTTCACATACACTAATACGCATCAAGAAGATTTAGTCGTAATTCTAAAGTCAAATTAATAAAAGCTACTCGTATATGCTAATAAATAAGAAGTAGTTTTAATTTTACATTAACGTTTATATTATAATTATTATGAACAACGTGTCATGTATGTCGTCAAAATTAAATACAATAGTTTTTATAATTTTGAACAAAATCTCTTATTAAACCGGCATAGTGCGGCCAACCGCTGAGAGTAGAACATTCTCCTTCCGGTTAATCACAACATGGACTATATTGTCCCTATGTACACTCTGGTTGGTACATGAGTCACATGTCGTGCTATTACAAATAAAATATAGTTAATAATATAATAGTTTATAATAAAACTATATAATAAAAATAGCTACGCAGCTATAGGTGAGTGTAGGTAGAACCAGTGCTACAATGAGCTACTTTTGCTCTGTTGATTCTTACTCAGTGCTCATACTAACGTACTACGATTGTGCGGTGTGCCGTAATAAACAAAAGCAATTGCATAACGAATGCATCTCTATTAAGACCATTGTGATCTATTGTACATGCATAATTTACAAAGCTTTATAAAGAGATTAAGATGTTCCGTTTATTGTAAGAAAAACGCATTGTGTATTGTAAAGCCATTTAATAAATAATATGTAAGTACTTGTAGGTATCTAATACATATTTTTGCTACTGTCTTGTTTTAGTTATTTTATAAAGAATAAAATAATAAAAAAAAAAACAATATAACAAATATCTAGAATTGTTAATAAAAAAAAAAACAGAAATTAGCGGATTTAAAATTGTAATATTAAATAAAAGATAAATAAATTATATTTATTTGAGATTATTCGTTCGTAAACCAGAATTAAAATACGTTATAATTTATTTTCAACCGACTTCAAAAAAAAGGAGATCCTCAATTCGGTTGTATTTTTTATGTTTGTTACTTCATAACTCCGCCTATAGTTATAACCGATTTGGATTGTTTTTTTATCTGACAAGATATACTTACAGATTGGTCCCAAAGAAGTAGTTTCGTTTTTAAATCATAGTAACTGGTTTTACTACAACTGAAGCCGGTTTCTTTTTATGAAACACAATCTTAAATTAAAATACTACTAACTATTACTCGCGACTTCTTCCGCATGAGCGGAATATGTTCACTGACCAAGATAAAAAATACATATGTCCTACTCCATCCCAAATAGATTTTTTTAATGGGTGATAACAGAATGGTATCCCCACCTGCGCTATCGGTACACACCGGCGGGGCACCAGTAAACAATGATAGGTGAGGATGAAGCGGGCCAGTTAGACATCGTGACGAATTCAACAAGAATTGTTCACGATGATTTCCAGGGAAAACCACGTGGAGGCAGACCTGATATTGCTAGCAATGGGGCTGTCAAATTCTATTGCTAATAATCCCATTCCCCCCATCCCAAATAGTATGTGTATACCAAATTTCATAGTGATAGGTTAAGCTAATAAAGCGGTATAAGGTATCGTACTATGTTCGTCTCAGCATAGAATAGACTACATCTTACTTTTCCGGATGTATCGTAAGATTCGACTAAGGAAGCTTATGGTGGAGGTATGGGCAACAGCATCCAGCTTAAAACATCACTAGAAGTCAAACTGCAATTGCCAACCCTCCTGCAAATCATGACAACTACTGATAAAACCTCTCTTATGAGGGAGACTGTTCAGCAGTAGAGAGTTAACGCTGATACAACAAAGTAACAAACAAATAAATAATTAACCAGTGATATGAACTTTCGCAAAATAACATCGAGTTTAGTAAAATATTAATAAACAAACAAGCTCGCTTTTACGTTTATAACATTAATAAGGGTTTTTTTATGGGTGAAAATGGAATGGCAACCCCGCCTGCGCTAACGGGATACGCTGGCGGGGCACCAGTGAAGGGTGATCGATGAGAATGAAAACAGGCCAGTTTGCCCATCATGACGAATTTACAAGGAAGTAACCATGATAGTTTCCAAGGGGAACCGCGAGGAGGTCGACCTGGCTGGGTATATTGCTAACAATGGAATTTTTAGTCTCCATCACTAACCATCCCTTCCCCCCCCCCCCCATTAATAAGGGTTTAACTAATGATAATATAATATCGAGGAAGTGTAAATATTTAGCAACATGTCACGTGCGTACTGTATTACAATTCAGTGGGTTTGATTACAGACCGATCGCTTCCTACTGTGTTCGAGATTAATTTTGTACATAATAATTGCAGTATACGAGTGTATACAGCAAACGCGGAAGAAATGTATTGTTTGATCACATTATTTCATCCAACACCGCGTGAAGTTACAGTTTCCGTACTCGGTGACGGCTTCGTGTAAAAGTGACGTTACAAGGCCTCGTCAAATTAGTACTAATTTGAATAATACCACAAATAATACTAATTATTATGTAATATTGTAAGCACCGTTCACAGTAAGCGACTTGAACAAAATCATAGACAATGAAGCTTACGTAATAAATTGTGTGCGTGAAATTGTTACAGAGCAAATGTTTAAATCATGCACAAATTATTTACTAGTAAAATAACTACATTTTAGTAGTATAGTCTTAAATGAGAATATCAGCAGATGAACCAAATGGTGTGAAAAAATCAGTAGATACTATGCACTAGTTTAGTTAGTTAATAGTAGTCAATATTTAATTTTAGCTTCTCAAAGGTTGTTGTAAGAGATCCCTTTACACTTCTATAGGATGAGCCTTTTATATAAATCTTTATATGAATCCAATGTAAATTATATACAACAAAGATTTTACAAAAACGACACTAATGCACTGCATTAGTGTCGTTTTTTTCATTTTATTTCATTATTTATTTATATATTATCTATTTTATAAATATAAAATATACTATTACTTAAATACTACTTTTTTTATTTTTTTATTATATATTATATACTTTATTGTACGTACATAAAAATATGACAGAAGTAAGTAAATGTACAAAGGCGAGCTTAACTCTAAAAGAGTTGTCTTCCAGCAAACCCAAAGCGGAAAGGAGCATCAATGTATACAAATGTACTACTTTATTGCACCCGTCAATAATATATTAAAGTTTTATATGATAATTTATTTATGCACTAATGTCCCTAATGTTATATTTATATGTTGTTGTATATACAAATTGGAAAAACCAATTAAAAATTTATCTGCGTGATTTTTGTGAATGTAATTTGTAAGTTAATTATATGATATATTTTTTCTGGTAACAAATATATATAAATATATATATATAATATAATATAATATAATATGCATATATACTTTCAGACGGATAGCTAAAGAAGTGGGTGCAAGTGCGATGCGCATGGACACCACATCGGCGTACTCCGCTGCAGCGGCCGAGAGGCTGCGCTACAGAAGTGTTTACCAAGTGTTATACTCAGATCTGCCGTACGCACCGCAACCAAAAGCGCCACATGTTGAAGCTAAAGTCTACATCAAAGAACTGTAATGTAAGAATCTGTAATTGCTCTAATATCTCACTGCTGTGTATGGGTGTCCCAAAAAGAGGACTACAATATGGCGTTGGCGAAACAAATTGGTATAGCGTTTTATTTTAAATTTTCCTTTTTTTGCACTGGAATTATCTCTTACGATATTTGGAATGTAAAATAGAGTTGTAATGAATTCTTGAATTAAAATGGATTCTTTAGCCGTGTGTCCCTGGCATAGAATAGGCCATCCCTTTTTTTCCCGTGAGTTTCATAAGAGGCGACTAAAAGAGCTTATGGTGAAGTCCCTCTTAAAACATCACTAAAAGCCAAACTGTGGTTGCCAACCCGTCTGCCAAGCATGGCAAATACTGGCAAAACTCCCCTTATGGGGGATGCTATGTTCAGCAATGGATAGTTAACGACTGACAGAACAATGAATTATTACTCTATCACCATACGGTCTATAATCCCTACTTAGAAACAAACTCACTTTGAGTTTGTCTGTTAGTTATCTCTTCACATCTTAACGGCTGAACCACAGATAATATAATACTATACTAGTAGCTTAACCAATCACTAAGAAATTTAGTATATACATACTATATAGGGTGGAGAAGGAGATAGGATACTTTTTATCCCGGTCAGTAAATATACCCTGGTCATGCCGACAAAATTGTGGGTAAAAAGTCGTAACAAATAAATAATTAAATAGATATATAAAAATAAATAAATAGGTCGCCGTGTGATCCCAGGATAGAATCCTTCCCACCACTTCCATTCCCGTGGGTGTCGTAAGAGGCAAATAAAGGAACTTAATGGTTGAGAAATTTAGGATAATTATTTCACTGTACTATCCTGAGTTTTTAGTTTTAGAAAATAGCATTTTAATACCTACTTTCAATAAGTATTTTTTTTTTACAGAACACAAAACGATATCGTCAATGAACAAGGTCTTATTATTATAGTAACAGGTTCTTCTAAACCTACCGCAAGCACCAGTCTCTCACAAAATTGGTCTTCATATCAAATTGTACCTCAAGTTGTCACTTTATTCTACCTTTTGTGAAGAGAAAATAAACCATTCATTAATTCAACTATAAATATAGATTAAGTATACTGTAAGATCTCAAGGTCTGACGGATCTATAAATCCATTCACGATCCTTCAGATATGTATTACTCGATGTAACCTAAGAATGTGTCAACACCCACTTTTTCTCGACACAGGGATTAATATTATCTCAGACCGAATTATTGCAATGACCTATTTATTGCAAAATAATGCCCTTCACTCCCTCCCTTACAAAAAACTATAAACACGGCAATACGGCTGAAAATGAGTCATATGTAGTTTAGATGCCAAACGGTTAATACCATGCTCCTAGTAGCGATTTATTAATTTACTTGAAAATGCCTCGTTTAAGTGAAACAAGTGTCACAAAACGTGCGTGGATGAAATGGCAGTCGGAGATTTATGGCTAATATGAAAGGTTATAGCACTTCTGGTATTAATAATAGTAGTCAATCTTCAAGTGTTGGCAGTCGCACATATACTAAGCGCTTATAATGAGGCAAGGGTTATTTATCATATTGCCTACATGTGTCATATACACTAGAATTAAATTGCGCCTAATTATAAATAAGTATTCATAAATTGGTAGGTCTATGTTGAAAGCGGGATAATTTATTCAATACCTAGTTAGACAATTACAAATGTAGTTGGCAATATTTTTTGTAATGTAAATTGTGAAAAAATCAAATAACTAGATATTATCAATTAGAATATTGTAACATTTCTATGAGAGTTAAAGAAACTTGTGGCATCATTTCGAGAAATTGTATCAACTTCGGAAAGTAGAAAGTTATTAAAATTTGAGTTTATACTGCGTTTTTTATTTTAAAACTTATGTATAACGATGTGTATATATATAAAAGCAATTTTATTAAATTACTATATTTGTCATTTACGACAATTGTTTCAATGTTATCCGTAAGTCTTCTCTAGGGAGCGGCGGCGCTTTGCGTCGCGTCTTGTCTCGATACAAAAAATAAAATAAAAAAAATCCCATTATACACACACACACACACACACACACACACACACACACACATACATATATATACACGTATATACTATGTATGTTATTCATCTTTGTATTACATGTAATATAATACCTCTAATTAAAAAAAACACACACACACTTAACGCCTAGTAGAATAGTATAGCAAAAACACGTTCCTATGACAAAATGGCTATCAAATACGTGATAAACGTATACCTAATATTGTAAGACATGAATAATTATTTCTTCCAAAATTATAATTAATTAGATAAAAAATCATTAAATTGTATATGTACCCAAATCTGTTTATTATTTGATTTTCTGTTTAGGTAATTTTCAGCAAATACGATTTCTGTCTAATTTCTGTGAATTTAGTTTCGAATCTTGCGAAAACTTGATATATCCAAAAAGCATTTTATAAAATGATTCCTTCTATATAAAAAAACGATGATTGTTTGGAAACTTGAAGTTAAAAGATCTACCGAAGTTGGACAGAGGTCGCACTTGAGAAACACCATATCAATAAATTGCTAAATTTTATGTAATATCTACAAGTAAATTTACATAGACAATTGTTTCAATAGTGCTTGTTTTAAAATTACAAGAAACAATGTAGCTACTTAACGTTCTTATGAGTTATCTATTGTTTATGTGATATTAAATTCGCTTTACTAGTGTTGTATGGGTTTGTACAATAGGTTTTCTAACATAAATTATATTGTTTAGTATCCATTAATAAAACACATACTAAATGTACTTGTGTCAATTTAAAACATTGTTTATTGTTTGTGATATGTATACTTACCTACTTAGAATAAGTATTTACGTATATTATTGGGAATACAAATAAAAGTTGTTAAGAATTATGCGTATTTCATTTAATAATTTATGTGTATGTAGGTATACGACTAGTCTACATCTACACTAACATTATAAAAAAGAAATATTTGTATTTTTGTGTGTATGTTTGTAATGAATAAACTCAAAAACTACTTAACTGTTTTCAAAAATTCTTTCACCATTAGAAAGCTACATTCACCCTGAGTAAAATAGGCTATATTTATTGCTAGAAAAGATTAAGGATTCTTACTAAAACTTTAATAACGTAACTCAAGGTGTAAAAAAACGCTATAAAATATCTTTCGTCGCGTGCGCTGCGGAAACTATTGGTGATAGAACAAAAGTATGTTCTACAATATTGAAGAAAATATCAATAACTACAAAAAACTTCGCAATGCTATATGTCCAACTATTATCGTTATGTCACAATAACCGCTGTTTAAAATGATGTAAAAATACCCACCCGCGAAGCCGGGACGGACCGCTAGTATACTAATATTAATAAATGAAAATATTTGTTTGTAATGGATAAACTCAAAAACTACTTAAACTAATTTTAACAAATTTTCTCCTATAAAAAGTTATATATAGCCAGCGAGTAACACAGGCTATATATTATTTTTAAGAAAATTAGAATATAAATTCAAATTAAGTACGAAAATTAATATAATATAATCTAAGGTATCAAAAACTTTCCTATTAAAGCTTACATAAAATACTAATTTATCTTTCTCTCATGTATCTACCCGTGTAAAGCTAAAGGATAGCTATGTAGTTTAAAATATTTTTTAATATGTCCCAAATATCTAATATTTAATTAAAAATCAAATTTCTAACCAAATATGAATATATATGAATCCTGAAACATAAAAAAATATTAGACGATTGATATTTTTTATCCTACTGACTATAAAGTTGTAAAAAATCCGTTTTTAACGGTTAAGTAATTAAATGTACAGTAAAATGTCCTATTTTATAGTTTGAATATCTGATTGTAAGCTATAAAGCTTGTACGGTGTTTTATGCAGATAAATTGAAATCTAAATCTCGCCTGAGGTTTGTATGGTAAACAGGTTGCATGGGAAACTATGAATAACTTACGGATAACAAATGATATAACAGGTATAGCAATGAAATTATAGGGTACAGAGGTATAACACCTTAGTCCTCAGGAATGACAACGCATGAAGGGTATCATGGACTATATATTACATATGTCCATGATATTGTTCATAGCAATAAGCGACGGTTACCACTTTCCATCAGGTGGGCCGTCAGCTTGTTTGCCATTTTATGTTATATAGAGAAACACCTATTAGAACTTTTTTTAAAGTTGCAATCTATGTAAGTTTTTAAAATTTGTAATAACCCTATTTTATATTGACTTCAAAAAGGAATGAACGAACTAACCAACCGACCTAAGCACCTACTTTAATTATTATGCTGAGATAAAATCAAAACGGGTAAAACAAGTACCTACTTACTTAGGTATTTATTTAAGTATACTTAAGTACATTTGTACTAGCATATTTACGTAAGTACAGGTGTGTTTGTATAATTTGGAAACAAAACTAATTAAAAAACAAGTCACGACTCAATTATTCACACTTGAAATTCCTGTGGACATACAGACCGATAAAGAGCGGCTCACAGTAAGCGCTAAGCTACGTGAACCTAATGTCATTTTTTTAACGAGTGAAAATGGCATGGTAACCGCCTGCGCTATCGGTGTATACTGGCGGGATACCAGTGAGAGATGATAGGTGAAGATGAAAAGGCAGGTCAGTTAGCACATTGTGACGAATTCAACTATAAATTAGTCACGATAGTTTCCAGGGGGAACTGCATGAAGATCGACTTCAGATGGTATATTTAGAGCATTGGGGATTAATCTTACCATTACTAACAATCCCTTCCCCCACCTAACGTCATTTAGCTGAGGAGAAGGGATTGTTAGTAACGCAGACTATCAGTCCCATTGCTGGCAATATATCCTCAGGTCAGATCAGGTCAGATTAAACTCAACGTGGTTCCTTTTGGAAACTATCGCGCTTAATTTCAGGTATACTCATCACGATAAATTAACTGACTAGCTTTCATTCTCTCCCATCATCCCTCATTGGTACCACGCCAGCGTATACCGTTAGCATAGGAGGGGTTATCATTCCATTGTCATCCATTAAAAAGAAAACATAATTTAACTTAACTCTGCCACAGATAATATAAGCCAAGTTTTGCATATATTCAACTGTGTGAACTAAACAAACCTGCAAATAACGCAACAATCAGCTGAGTTCCTTGCCCGTTCTTCTTAATTGAAATTGCGTTCCGAATGGACAGTAAAATTATGAAAAATTACTATTAAAAAACTATTCAGTGTACTCAGATAAAAATATTTTTCTTTCTATGAAAATTAAACTATCTGGATATACACTAAATATACAAAGAACTGTCTTCCTTTGTGTTAAATAAATGGTATTAACGGTTTATCTAGCTCCCATATAGTTTAGTTAAGTTAAATTACTCAACTCTATAGTTTGCAATATTTCACTATAAAATTAAGTATGAACCACAGCTAATACTACTCAAATATAGATTCGCTTAGCTTAGCTTAAAGTGAGGTTTCTCCTTAATATATGCATACCTACATATGCACTTATACATACAACTTAAACAATACATTTGTTTAAGGAGAATTAATATATATTACACGATAGTTGAAGGATGAGCAGCAGCGTCCCTCTTTAAACATCATTAAAGGCTAAATGCAGTTGCCAACCCGTCTGTCAAGCGTGGCAACTACTGATAAAACCTTCCTTTTGGGGAATGCCTATGTTTAGCAGTGGACAGTTAACGGTTGATACGATATCATGACTCGTAATACGTTTGTTACACAATTATGCAAGTTTTTTTTTAATGGATGATAATGAAATGGTATTCCTGCCTGCGCTTTCGATATACACTGGCAGGATACCAGTGAGGGATGATAGATGAGTATGAAAGCAGGTCAGTTAGCCCATCGTGATGAATGCAAGTAGATTTAATCACAGATTTAGATTACAGAGGAATATAATACATATATGTCGTGACGAGAATTACTGAACTTCTCACCAAATACATCAAGTTTTTCACCATTTTGAAGAGCACTGCTACGCTGTACATTAGGAGGGAGGGATTGTTAGTAATAGGGTCTAGCTTCCCCATTGCTAGCAATTCATCCTGTCAGGTCGACCTCTTCCCGGTCCCCCCTGGAATCCATCATGTTTAATTCCAGATGAATTCATCACGATGGGCTAACTGACCTGCTTTTCATCCTCATTAATCATCCCTTAATGGTGCCCCTCTGGCGTATACCGTTAGCGCAGGTGGAATTACCACTCCATTATCACCTATTACGCTGAACATTATTATAAGAATGATACATTCTTAAAATTGGATTGTTAAAAGAAATATTATTCCTAGTGCTTGGTACATCAAAAAACGGGATTTACGACATTTATTGTTAGTATTAATTATGACAAACCCAGTAATTTTAGTCCAAAATTAAACTACTGCTGTTACTTTTGATCTAAAAACTAAACCACTGAATTGATTTTGATAAAATTTCTACGAAAACAATCTGTATGTATATCCTTTTAGATAAAAAATAATTTTCCAAATCGGTTTAGAACTGACAAAGTTATGAGGTAACAAACATAAAAAAAAATACATTTGAATTAAGAATCTCCTTCTTTTTGAAGTCCAGCGAAAACTTTGTTTGAAGGACCAATATTTTTATACATTTAAGTCAAAACTGTTACAGTTTTTGTCTTAGATAGCCTGATACAGTAAGTCCGCGAAATTATGAAATTAAAAGATGGACCCGGAGAAATGGCATCTGAGAATCAACCCCATTGTGAGCAAAGGCGAACTTATCTTTAAAATATGTTAGATCTCTTATCAATCTATTGTAGCATATAAAGTGGTGAATCTATGTAATCTTTTTTCTCCCCTTGCACTATGGGTAACCATAAATAAAAAAAGGATTATTAGCAACGAGGTCTACCCTATTGCTAGCAATATACCCATTCATAATTGTTAAATTCATCACGATGGGCCAACTGACCTACTTCATCCTCACCTATCATCTCTCACTGGCGCCCCGCTAGTGTTTATCGTTAGCGTCAGCCGAGTTACCATTCCATTTTCATCTATTTAAAAAAAAAACGGTAGTTCAAGAGAGCATTAAAAAAACGTCAACATTACCAAAACAATTTATATAAATAAATTTAAAAACTATAAAATATTTACAGTGCAACAATCCTGCCTACCTTCAGGCGGCCGGTCATAAAACTAAGCCAATCTTTTTGTAATATGTATAAAAAACATATTACCCCATATAATAATTGCGATAAGGGTAGGAAGAAGAGGAAGAATCCTGCCTACCTTCTATGTGAAAGATTGTAGATGTTTGTTACTCAGTCACTCTTAAACACCTAAACAGATTTTAATGACGTTTGATGCATTATATAGATGTTTTTAAATAACATAGCAACTTTTAACTTTTAGATTTTCGAACTGCATGTTTTATGTTTTATAAGAAACGGGAATTACCGCGATGATTTTTATATATGTATATGGTAATTTATCTGAATTCATGTAAATTGTCACAGTTTAACTAAATGACCATTTTAGTTCCTAACTTTTATAAAATATAGCTAGTTTTTATCTTAAGTCACAAGTCAAAGACGCGGTAGACAGCCAGTAGCTTCATAAAATAATTATTGTAATTACATAACTCCACTGGTGTTCTAGGCATCTTTACATCCTTAGAATATATCAATCAGATAGACTGAAGGTTTGCCAACTCTATGGTACGGTAAATCTCGGTATTATATTAAAAATTTGCTATTTTAACGGTGCATGCAGGCGCTATCAGAGCGGTAACTTCTGATAGGAACGGTTATCATGATATCAGTACCTAACCACTCATAAATATATTTATATCTTCACATATCACATAATTTGTACCGAAGTCTGTTAATAAAAAAATAATTTATAGATAGGTATACTATACACAATACTTTAGTATCGTATATAACATAAAAATGATGATTTTTGAAATTGTTCTATCAACGTTTCACGCAAAAACGACTGGACTATTTATGACGAGATTTAAACGCCAAATACAGCTCAAATCATTTTTAGCAATCCCTCATATTGGATTGCTAAAAATGGGGATTAGTAGCCCCATTGTTAACAATACAACCTATCAGGTCGACCTCCACGTGGTTTCGCCTGGAAACCATCGTGATGAATTCCAGGCGTATTTACCATGATGAGCTAAGTGCAGATCAGCCTTTTCATCCTCACCTATCATCCCTCACTGATGCCCCGCCAGTGTATACCGTTAGCGCAGGCGGGATTACAATTCCATTACCATCCATTTAAAAAAAAAATATAGCTCAAACTAACGTGGTCAATATGCTATTGAAAGTTTAAAAATAATATATTTTACCCTACAAGATAATAGATGGCGTGAAAAATAAAATTGCGAATGTTGTATAAAAAAATCTAATGTACCTTAATAAATTAATTTTATTTTTTAATGACACGAAAACAAAGTCAATATAAATCGCAAAATGAAATCAAGTCAATTACTGATCGTTGTCGCCTTAAATAAATCTTTTTTTATCTTTCACCGTTTTAGTACTATGCTAATGTTGAGCGTACAATGAAGCTTAAGATTAGTCGTGCTCCGCCCGCGAAACGTTCAAAACACTTGTTACAATTGATATGCGTACGATTATCTATTTAAAGTAAAATATACTAAATACGTATAGTAATAAGGTCCAAATTCTTGCCGACACGAAGATAATGTGAGTAAATTCTTGATGTTTATAAAAATATAATGATTTTATTAATTGATTATATTTGGCTTCAGCATTAGTAATTATTATTATAGGTATATACTGTTATAGATACTAATAAAATTATATGCGAAGTAGCGAAGTTTTTTTTTAAGTATCTATCATTAAAAACTTTAAATAGTTATGACATAGTCGCATAGTATAATGACCCCTACATACAATTGTTTTTCAAAACGTATACGGATCCAAGTCATAGAAAATTTATTACAGCATAATTCTACTAAATTATCAGTGGAAGGAACTTTGCACAAAAGTTGTCTCCTCCTCTCTCTTACTTGTGCTTCTACCCTAAAGGAGTTGTGTTTGCATGGCTGTGTTCGATTTAAAGAGTGGAATATGACAGTGAATATATATAGTACAAAGGCATACGCAACGCATAGGGAGTATCATGGGCGAAACAGTATACTCTCTTATGTCTGTGGTTCTGTTCATGTCTATAGGCGATGGTTACAATTTTCCATCAGGTGGGCCATCAGCTTTTTTGCCATTTTAAGTTCCATAAAAAAAATTAAAGAAAAGTGTTATTTTCTGAACTGAGTTGTAAAATATGTTTTTTTAAAGTGGGTAGTTCACTAAAACTCTTTTCGCTAATTTTGGCTTCAATCGATATTTTATGAATATGAATATGACGTAACTTCGACTTCACTAAAGAATTTTGTTTGTTGTCTAAATAGGCAGTGATTGCTCTGGGATTTAAGAGAAGGAGCATTCTTTTTTTTTTTGTAACAAACTTGCCAATTTACGTAGAAGATTCTTTTAACGGTAAAAAGAGTTACAGTAGCTTAAAAAGCTTACAATATCAAAGTCACTTACGTATTATTTTTGTATTCTGGGGTGATAAACCTGAGTCATAATACCTTGTAATTTCACTGTCATATTTTTGTCTTTCAAGTGGGAACACGGCATACTAGGCTAGCTATTTGATTATAGAAAAAGGCGAGACAAAAATACTATGTACTACATTAATACAGAGACGGACTTGCACGAAGGTTTTTTCTGTATTTAATGAAAATGTAAAAAAAAAATAAACCACAAATGCCCGCGAATCGCATGCGGCCCTACGACGATGGTACCCAATGTACGAGTATATCGATATTCAGTTATAGATTAATGTCATTTAATCCATAGATTAGATAGATCCATAGATCCATTGGGTCAAGTTGACCTCTGTCATATGACAGATAAGTAGCAATAGCTGGTCCGCATTCAAGACGTTTAACATTATCCACCTCCTTTATTTAAATACCTATGGATCCACCTGATGGAAAATGGTAACCGTCGTTTAAAGATATAAGCACCATGGATATCATAGAATACACTGTGATATCCATGATAGTCGGCATGCATTGCCATTGCCAGGGACTGTGGTATTCCATCCTTCAAACCGAAACATTCAACATTCCAGCACATTTAGATATTTTACGGCAAAAACACTAGCAGGCTTGTGTATGACATGACATTTGTGATAAAAAGTGGTCATAATCTGTGATATAAATAATTAAATATGAACTCCACCATGGATATACAGATTGCACTCATGTCCATGGTCTACCTCCATAATCAGTAATTTACTACAGAACGGGTAAACACAACATGACAATTAAGGACCGTATCTATGCAAAATTATGTTTCATTGAATTGAAATTATTGTTATCTAGCAAACCTGATCCAATACAGTTATATTACGAGTACTTAGATCAAAATAAACTTTTTTTTTATGTGTAAAGGCGGTAAACAATCCAATGGATTCTAACGACACTAGAGAATTTACAAATACATTGCTGACCTTCTAAAAAGTTTTTTTTTTAACTTTACACTTTTTACGAGTATGTACCACAAAGGTGACAAACAAGCGTACAGAGGGGGGAAGGGATTGTTAGCAATGGAGTTTGACAGCCCCATTGCTAGCAATATGCCCTATCAGGTCAACCTCCATGTGGTTCCCCCCCCCCCCTGGAAACCATCATGAACAATTCTATCTTCGTTTATCATCCTTCACTGGTGCCCTATCAGCGTATACCGATAGCGCGGGTGGGGTTACTATTTCATTATTACCTATAAAAAAAAAGTAAGACGATTAACTGTCCGATGGTTACTTTATATTAAAACCGAAATAAAACAGCAAAATTACATAACAACTATGTAAATAATTATCCTCTTTTACAGTTATCCTCGTAGATGTAGCTGACATCTATACATTAAATATATAATTATTCTATTGTTTCTGCTGAGATTCGAACTTAGATAATGGCGCAATCGTACAGAGTGGCGCCGGTATGCGCAGAGGACGTCCCAGATGTTATGAAACTACTTAAAAAGCAAGTATTTTTTTTAATATTACCCATTGTTGTTTACGATACTGAGCGTGTGATACTTTTAGACCATAACTAATTGACATATCAGTATCCACCGTTTTTGGAATTTATGTGAACGAGCATTATTTGTGTTTCTAAGTTCTCAATACGTTTTTCATTTTATATTTGTAAGTGTGTAAGCGACTATTCGACAATTATAAACAAAATTTAAGAATTTCATTAACTCATTGAGGTATCTATAGACATAGTACGTATGTTCATATACCTACTAAGGATGAGAAATCTATATCTATATCTATATATAATAACGAATATGTTAAAAGTCTGTTATCCAAAAAATAATATTGGATAACAGACTTTTAACATATTCGAAAATGAATATCCGACCGATATAGGGGATATCAAAATGGGCGATGACCTTTTTCAGCCTCTCGTGTAAATGAATTAAAAATAATCTATGCTTACGCCTAATGCCTCAATTAGTTATTGCACAATACAAAATAATATCATTTTGACCAAAGCGGATCACAATAGCTGACATGTGGGATGCAGATGAGTACAAAATAGTATCACATCTGCTAACATAGTTTATCGTGACGAAGTACTGGTATATGACAATCCACACGCAGTGAAGAGAATAAATGCTAACAATATTATAAACTCTTTGATATGACAAACAAACTGATAGCTTATTGCTCATCTAAAAGTGTTGTTTGTTGCCTGTAAACATGAATAACTGATTGTAAAAAAGGAGGAAATAAATATCCCCTCCTTTATATATAATATATATTAAAGAGGGAGGATCAAGTGCCAAATATCTCTATCCTTATACACATCTCTTACTTCCTGGACCTTTAAAACTCATCTTATGCTTGCATGCTGGTTTCGGGACTCCTACAGGTAGAACACTATTTGTTTGATCTTATTTTTTTTAATGCAGGAAAATGATAATCCCACCTGCGCTCTCGGTATACACTGGCGAGGTACCAGTGAAAGGTATTATTAACAATGAAATCTAACTGCCTCACTGTCAGCAATACACCCTATGAGGTCGACCTCCACGTAACCTCCTCCTCTCAGAAACCATTATGGTTAATTTGTGAAGAATTCAACACAATAATCCAACCTGACTTTATTTTAATACGTCATCATTCACTTGTACCCCACTAGTGTATACTGATAGCGCAAGCTGGGTTACTATACTACTATTCCATATCTACTTTTTTTAATAGGATGACATTAAAAAAGTGCCACCGTAGCTTGCCATTTATTTTTGCATAAAAAATTCTTCCAGAACATTCTATATAGACGAACCACTAAACGAAGCGGTCGAATTATGCGACGAGAATGGCATATGTCCCGAGTTAGACGAATACTGTACACACTCACTGCTGGAAGGACTGTCCTTTAAGGCTATAGACCAAGATGACAATATAGTGGGAGTGATAATAAACGGTGTTAGTCCATTGAAAGAGGTAAGAACACATTCCATAAAGTATATTTTTAACTGATTTAAAAATAGCAGGAGGTGCTCAATACGGTTGTATTTTTTATGTTTCTTTAGTCACAACTCTGTCCAATTTGGTTTTTTTTTATCTACTTTATATATACTTTTAGATTGGTACCAATGTTATCAAAGTCCACGATTGATGACAATGTTCTTTTTTGTAGACCAAAATCTATTTATTAGTTGCATAATCTGTTTTAAATCCAGAAAAATATATGGATGGATCCAAGTGAACGGAAACCTAAACTTCATACAAATTCGTTCATTGAAATCCATAGACATTTTTATAAACTTTTATTGTTATAAATAGGAAAAGACAACTTAATTAATAATCTATCTTTATTATAGTAACAATAGATGTGTGTTATACACAAAATTGTATTTCGTCACAGGAGGACAACGGCAATGACCTCCTAAGCCAAGCTCGAAGGTGTCAGAATCCAAAATTCCAGAAAATATTATACATACTCGCACGCCGAGAGGAGGTATCGAGACTCTGGGAAAAATTTCCACAGGAACAGAGGCTGGTGGAAGTTAAGGTGGCAGCCACAGACCAGAATTGGAGGAAACGGGGCATAATGAACGCTCTAGTCAAGGAAACTGAGTAAGCATTTTTACTATTGACTAGCTTATTGGAAACAGTGTTGCTAGTTTTTTTTCAGTATTCACGTAGTTATTAGCATGACAAAACGTATTGAAAAGAAGTTTGTGATTGGGTAAAATAACAAAACCTTATCAATTCGAAAAAAAATTTTTTGCCTAGTGAAAAAATATAATTGCAATTCCAGGGAGAACCGCAAGGAGATCGACCTGGTTGGGTATATTGCTGTCAATAGAATTCTCAGTCTCCATTACTAACAATCCCTTTCCCCCCTAACAAGTCATGTTTGGATATTTTACAGAAAGATTACCGAGCAGAAAGGCATCAGACTACTACGGATGGACACATCGAGTGCCTACTCAGCGATGTCCGCAGAGAGGCTGGGTTTCATGTGTGTTTATCAAGCGCTCTATTCTGAAATAAAAAGGGACGACCAGCCACTCATAGTACCTAAATCACCACATTTGTACGATAAGGTTTTTATCAAGAAGTTGTTTTGATTGATTAATCATTGTCATAGATAACAAAACTGTTCTGAATCTATATTGTTTTCTTTACAATCCAGCCACCTATTTATTATAATCGTAAAATAAATCACATCCTATGAGTTACTTTAATTGTATTATTATTATTTCAGCCGTCACATCACACAAATTGTGTCTCTATCATCATAATTATCATCACATCAGCCGTTAACTGTCCACTGCTGAACATAAGCCTTCCTCGTAAGGGGAGTTATGCCAGTAGTTGTCACGCTTGGCCGACGGGTTGGCAACCACAGTTAGGCTTTTAGATATGTTTTAAGAGGGACGCTGCTGCCCATCCCTCGCTCTCCCTTAGTCGACTCTTTCGACACCCATGTGAAAGGAAGGGGTGGCCTATTCTATGCCGGGACTAAACGGCGACTTCAAGTAGGCATCGAGTAATATGGATACTGATCCGATTTCTATATATTAGGTTTCTTTAGTTAATGATGGCGGAAAAAGGTCATCACCCATTTCGATATCGCCCATATCGGTCGGATATCTAAAGTTACAAGTCTCTTATTCAATATTTATTTTTTGGATAATAGACTTTTAACATATTCGTTAAAAGACCAGTATATAAATATTGTAGCTAAAATATATAAATATTACACTTCTTCTTTAGGTCAAAATACCTATTAAGTGCAAATTAATAATTTAATTTTGTTATCAGAACAAATAAACTTCGAATAGCTAATAAAAATAACACTGGACACAGCGCCATCTAGTTTAAAAAATAACCAGTATTTAAGTCATAGATTAGCAACAGATATATTTACATATACCTACAGTATACGCCCAGAGCCACACAATTAGATATAACTAACAATACAATTTTTGTATTGTGTGATAATCGAGCCCAGAACTGTCAAAAAGTTAAGTACCTATAGGATGGGGGGAGGGATCGTAAGTAATGCGGACTACCAGTCCCATTGCTAGCAATATACCCTGTCAGGTCGACCTCCACGTGCCCCCCCCCCCCCTGGAAACCATTGTGTTGAATTCCAGATGTATTCATCACGATGGGCTAACGACCTGCCCTTTCATTCTCACCTATCATCCCTTACTGATGACTCGCTAACGTATACCGTTAGCGCAAGCGGGTTACAATTTCATTATCATGCATTATAAAAAAAAGTACGTATTGGGTATGTAAAAAAATTAATAATGAAACTATTTTATTTTATTAAATAAAATAATCCTTATAACTGGATATTTTATTGATCGTGTTTGGTAAATCATATTTACAAATAAAATAAGGTTTAAAATCACTTTTATATTTAGTATCAAATTTGAAAAGAAAAGTTTGTCAGACAACCCTGAAAATAAGAAGAAAAATTTATTCGATACAAAAAATGTGAAAACAAATTACAAGTCGACATTACCTTCATGTTTTGTCTCATCGATGTATTGTAAGACCAATCGTCTAATCCTTCTAGTATATCTATTTCTGTTAGCAATGATTCACTCTGAAATCTGAAATACAAGATAAAAAATATTGATGCTATCATAAACAAAATTTTAGTATTTCACCTTTCGATGATAGCGAATTCGATGTCCGCCCAATATGAAAATTTAAATACTTTTTAAATTTATTTTTTTTATTACTGCTATTCGTATCATAGTTTCCAACACAAAATGTCCTTTAGTTCGGGGCTAGTTGGCGCCCTGTTTCATATCTGGGACTATTTATTGTTCTTATTCTTTGACATACATATTAACTCTCCCCATAGAAAAGGGATGTTAGATAAATAAATAGACACTATTGTTTCCTCCAAAAGATTATAATAGTAAACTTATTCTAGATATAAACAATAAAAAGAAATAATCACAATGAGAAAACAATGGGCGACCTTATCGCTAAAAGCGATCTCTTCCAGACAACATTTGGATGGAGAGAAGTAATTATAAACAGTTTGATTGGAGGCACGATATCCTATAATTAACCCAGGTAAGACAGCTTGAAATGGAATTTATTCCAAATTTGATATCACATTCCTCACCATTACTATAATATCAGCCATCTACTGTCCACTGCTGAAAATAGGCCTCCCCAAAAGTTTTTCAAGTAGTTGCAACGCTTGACAGGTACATTGACAACCGCAGTTAGGCTTTGATTATGTTCTAAAAGGGACACTGCTGCTCATCTCTCAACCATTAAGTTCATTTAGTCGCCTCTTACGACACTCACAGGAATGGAAGGCCTATTTTATGCTGGGGCCACATGAAAGAATATATACCTAATACAATTATCACCATATTTTGGAGGAAGGTGTCTTTAGTAAAGCGTGGTCTAAGAGCTAGCAATATAATAACTTGTATGAACCTATATAAATAAATATATTTTTGATTCGTTAGATCATTGCAATGAACCACCTGCCCTGACTGGGGGGAAAGGTATTGTTACTAATGAGGTTTAACAGGCCCATTGCTAGCAACATACCCTATCAGGTAGATAGTGGTTAATTTTTGTTCAATCGATCACTATGGTCACACTGATTTGCATTTATTCTCACCTGCCTGAGCATGCAAGTTACTATTTCATCTTCGCCTATTAAAAAAAAACTGCTCTGACTTCATCCTTACATATTACTAGTTACCTCACTAGTACATACTCATAGGCAAGCGATGTTATCATAACATTTTCATTGATTAAAAATGGTGATGGTAACCATGCAAGATCAAGTCTAAAACCTCAAACAATAAACCATAAATGTGATCAAATATTGCATCAAAATTGACTATGTAATGTATGACAAATATACCTCGATAATAACGCTGAATAAATATCGCAAGAAGCAAGAAAACACCTACAGCAATGCTATTTTGGTAAGGATACTTTGTTATATTTCTTGATCGATGAAGTAAAAAAATAAAATGATCTATATAAACTATATCATATGTATTTTAAATATGTACAATAATATTATCTACTATGTACAATAGTGACTATTTACATATTTTCTGTTTTTTTTTTTTTTTGCAATATACATTTATTACTTTATATAATTTACTGTACAAAAAATATAATATCATAAACTATATAAAAGTATACAATTTAACAATCTTATTGTACAAAATTTTACTAAAATATTTTTATTTAATTTTATAAAAATCCCAAAAATCCATTTCTTTCTCCAGCAAACAAATTTGATCAATGCTATTTTCAAAATTGTATTAACTAATTTCTTTCGTGTACTATTTGAACATATAATATCTGATATAACTTACGTTTTTATTTTGAGCATTTTAGAGTATTATAATATTATATTGCATTTCTTTTAAAGATATTTTAACAAAAATATATTTATAACACCCAGTTAATTTCTACATGTAATATCAAGACGTATAAAACAGCAAAGTTAAAACATTTTTTTTTTTATTTTAAATATGAAATTGAAACAATTCACACCATGTTTCTACGAGGTAAGTAAAGAAAACTGGAAACCAAAAGCCTCTATCCTTATACATTTCTAGTCTTGCCCACTTTCAAATTATTATACCTAGCAAAAATATGGTTTACCTGACTGTACACATTGTTTTCTAACTCGCAATTAATAAAACTAGTAAAAAAATAAACTAAATAATCTACATAGGGTCTTAAACTGCAAACCATAGTCTAAATGTGAATTTAGACTCTGGAATTATATAAAAACTAAAAATAAATAAATTCGTTCTAAATTTGATTTCAACTACAAAACGTAACTACTAAATAGGAAGACAGTTCTACAGAATTAAAAAGTCACTTTTTCTCGCTGGCCAGTGCTTGTCCTAGGGAAGCCGTCGCTACTGTCGGATTGGAAGCCGTCACTATTTTTTCCATTAGTAGACGTGTCTGCTCCTGAAAAATATTGCCAGAATTAAATATTAAAAATCCCATTTCATTTAAAATGATGATATTGACATAGAATTTACTAAGCAATTCATAACTACCCTCATACGCTATCACTCCTGAGGACTAGTTTTTGCTGAGGAGAAAAGGGATTGCCAGTAATAGCGTCTAAGAGTCCCATTGCTAACCATATACCCTGTAAGTTTGACCTTCACACGGTTTCCATTGAAACCATGTGTTTAATTCTTATGGAATTTGTCACAAAGAGCTGACAAAAGACACAAGGACCCTGTTTTCACCCTCACTTATCATCCCTCGCAGGTGGACCGTCAACGTATATAATACCGATACCGGCAGGTGGGGTTATCATTATCAGCCATTAAAAAGAAAAAAAGACTAGTTTTTTTTTTTTTTTATTTTGTTTTAACTGAAAGACTGAAATGACTTTGAAGCGAAATAAAACAATTTTCATAAAACAGATTCCATGGAAATAGAAAGGCCATGATACCCAGATAAGTCATATAAGACTCTAGTGTTAAGACACTGATGATGAACAAGATGATGAAGATAATAAAATGTAGTCACAAATGTCATATTTTGTGTTTGGGGTATATTACACTATCAAATATACAAGATTTTATCTATATTAATTCAAAATACTACATCATGGATATTTCCAACAGCAGTGTTTTACAATATTTTGTAATAGCTATGCCTGCAACTTTGTACACGTCACTAGGACATACTGTTTAATGGGATTAAAAAGCAACCTATGTCCTTCTCCATCGTAACTATTTTAAATAGTGGTTAACACTCTTTCACGTTAATAGTAATAGGTAATTTAGAATATGGTAATACTAAGGATAGGGGAGAAGGTGACGTTAGTAATGGGGTCTAACAGCCCCATTGCCAGCAATATTATATATATTATATTTATATATATAATATATTACCCTAGCAGGTCGACCTCCGCGCGGTTCCCCCGAAAACCATCGTAGTTAATTCTTGTATAATTCGTCACAATAGGCTAACTTTTTTATTATACCACTGAGGTGGCAAACAAGCATACGGCCCATCTGATGGTAAGCGGTTACCACAACCTGCAACGCCTGCAATAGCAGAGGTATTACGCGCGCGTTGCCGACCCTGAAGCTAGCAGCTAGCGGCGCGCCAATGAATGATAATAGGTGAGATGAAAAGGCAGATCAGTTAGATCATCGTGATGAATACAGCAGGAATCCAACACGATGGTTTCCAGGGGAAAGCATGTACAGGTCGACCTGATAGGGTATATTTCTAACAATGTATCTGGTAGTCTGAATTACTAACAAACCTTCCCCCCCCCCCTCTGTGCTGGCGATTAGTTAGTAGTTAGTAGTTTGAAAATAAGTGAGCTCACTTAATGGGTTCAATTCTGAGGCATAATTTTTCTAAACCATTTTTAAAATTAAAATTTCTATTCAATAACAGAGCGAAATCTTTATTCTAGGAGCCAATATGAACTAAATTTCTAATACATTTAAGTAAAAATTATTAATTAAATTTCTGATGGTCCGTAAAATTGCAATTTTATTATACAAAAATATCACAGAATCTACCCTAACGCCATCTTGCTTTTAAGAGTGTAAAATATGTATCTACATAATGATATTTAATAGTGTGTTACACCTTTTTGTAAATACCTCATTAGTATTTTCGTGAGCGGCAGCGCGCACTTTATCTAATTCTGCTGCTAAATACTTGGATCTTTCCAAAGATCGACGGCTGCCAGCTAGATACATCTCTCTAAAATTGAATAAAAATTAAATAAACAAAGTAATGAACACAACAAATTAGTCAAAATAAATAACCATACACAAATATGATTTATTTTATAACTATACAAGATTTTAGAGAATCTCTTTCATTTGTTAAGGATAAAATTTAACAGGTTGTAATAGGTAATATAAGATAAGCTGCAAGAAAATAAATATAATTTTTTTCTATTTTTTTTTTAATATTATATAAAAAAAGACTGGTTTTTTTTGTTTTGGTTTGGTTGTATTACAAGCTCTGTTGAGATTTTAATTACATTTACCTGATTACATAGATCTGCAGTAGACATCCAATTAAACCAACTCCAAAGCACATCATGATGATAACATAGTTTGGCAATTTTTTCACTTCTGCTCCCTGTGTCTTTGCCTTTTCACTTGTGTTTGCTGACCTCTGGTGTTCATAGTAAAAACTGTAGTTTGGATTGTTGCGTAAACTGAAATGTAAAATTAAAAATAAATGACAACAGTCCATCTAGAATATTATTTACCCAAAAGTGGATATGGATGGCTAAAGACTGCACGGCTTGAAGATCAATTGTGCCAAGATCCTTTCAATGATGAGGAAATGAGAGAATATATACAGAATACTATTTAATGTACACTGGAGCTCTCCCTCACAAGAAAAGAGTATTACCATATTGGTCAGGTAATTTATTTTAAGGATTTATTTCATGATTTTATTGTTCCATAGTTGCCTCTTACAACATCCAAGAGATGAAAAGGAGTGGTAATACACAGTGTTTTACTCTATCAACACATAAAAACAAAAAGTTCAAAAATATTATATTTTTCTTAATGGGAAAGTGGCAATACATGCATGCTCTATTATAATAATGTAATTTTAAAAATCCAGATGTTCATTCAGACCAAACTCCAAAAATCCAAGCAAAATCAGCTTTAATGAAATTTTTCAAGTGTATGGTGTGAGAAGTCACTCCAACTCATGAGATAGAATATTTTTCACTATGATAAGTAATCTATAGAAGTAAAAGAACATTTGTTAAATCAACTAGTAAAAAAAGATACAAAATTTTGTATTGTAACTATTTTTAAAATAATAATTTACTGCATGTATACAATAAGTATTGATTAATTATTACAGTAAAGGAAGTCTAACTTGTATGACATTATCACTATTAGAATCAGAGGTAAGTTGAATGAAAGATTATAATAAGGATAATAAATAACATAAAAAATACAGTAAGGGTTAAGATATCTCACTTGTATGGCACATGTGTTCTGTAAACAAATGATGTGCCAGTCGCAGTGCCAGTATGGGATGCCACAGTGATCATACTGTCATATTGTGCACGGCTGCATGGCTTGCCCAGGACATTGTAGGCCTCCACAATACTGACAAATTTCTCCTGTGCCTTCTCATCTTTATTCTTGTCAGGGTGGTACTGGAATATGGAGATTTATATTGATTTATATAGAATATGAATTGGTCTTCACAGTTATTCAGTGTTCTATAGATAAATACTGATAGCTTTTTTTTTATTTTTACAAACTTGTATGTTGATATGAAGAATACATAATTGTTTCTTGCAATGCTACTAATTGTATAAGTATTATAATTGTGAAACTTGGTTAGTCAATCAAATGGTTGATCGATGTAAATTAAATTTGGTACTTGGGTAGGCTATATCCTAGCTTAACATGTCATATAACATACTTCATTTCTAATAACAAATCAGACCAAATACTAGATTAAAATATGATAGTTTTATCCTAATGTATGCAGACAGAAGCTACAAATTTTGTTAGTTATGATTTTTTCTATCACTAGGTTCAATTAAGGGAAATTTCTCTGCAAATTTGATAGATTACAACAGCATGCAAAAATTTTTTTTAGAAAAAAAACAGAACTTTCTACCTAGATCATATTTAAATTATGTTCTGTAAAATTATTAAAAAAATAATAATAAAATGTACCCTTATAAGTGGAATAATATAATAAAAACTGAAAACCTACTTCCTTGCTCATTTGAATGAACGCATCCTTAATCTCTTTATCGGAGCAATTTCTGCGCAAATTAAGTATTTCATAGTAATTCTTTCTAGCCAAACTGAAAAATAAAAACAATATTATATATAATCACAGAGTAATGAGTGACATATTTTTGCCAAATAAAATTACGAAATAGATGAAACATACCTATAGAGCCTAATAAATGTGCTAATTGACTTGAAGTCAGTGTTACGTTTCATAAAATACATAACGATTTTGCCTACCCAATCTCTCTAAAATTGTATTGAAAGTTCATGTTTTGGCAATATCCATTTCTGGTGCAGTCAATCTGTCATCCACTTTAATGTTGCCAACATTTGATATTTTTTCTGCCTAAAAATTAGATAAACATTAAAAAAATTGTAAAATACCATCCGAACGATTCTGAAACACCATTTCTCTAAGCCTATCTCTAGAATTAAAAGTCCAATTTGATATAAGAGGGAAATTTTTATTCTAAGGATTACTATGAACTGATTTTCTTATAGATTTCAGTCAAAATTATAGATTTGTTATACGAAATTATTACAGATGTGTTTATTTATAGAAATAAACGTCATTTAAAATTGTAACTGATGTATTAACATAATTAATACTTGCACTAACTAAAATACAAATATATAAATACCATGAAATTCAAAATATGCTCCTTCTTGTTGTAGTTTTAAAACACAATATACATTAATCGATTAAATTATAATAAATAATAATGGGAATTTAATGAAATCTCTAATTATATTTATACTATGATATGAATATGAAGACATATTTTGTAATAGACATATTTTAGTGACATTTTTATGCAACATGAATTCAAAAAGAAACATTATACATTTTCTTTTGTACTCTTGCCGTCATACACACACACACGAACGCACACATGTGCACACACGATGAGAGAGGGAGAGATATTCACTTTCTCCTTAATTATAGGGAGAAAATTTAAATTGGCAATCTTAAAATTTTTCTTTTTTAAGTGTCGTAGGTACTAGTCGTTTTAATGAATTTTTTTTTTAGTACGTTTGTTCCGTTGTGGAACAGGCTAAGGTCGGAGACCATGCTGCCTCGTTTTAATGAAACCACAGTATCAATTCGAATAGTACGTTCATATTCTATTTTTTTTAATCATGTATTGATAACAATTTTATATAATAGATATAGAATAAAGAATATGTATCAAAAATGTATACATATTCTTTAAAGTTTAAACTAACGTAATGATTATTTTCTCTGTACTTCCAATTTTTTAAGTAATCGAAGAAGACTCTTTAATACACTTCTTTAGTACCTTTTTTTTAAATACAAGCATTTACAATACATTGCGCCAATTTTAATAAATGATAATGGAATGGTAACCTCTATGGGAAATGAGTAAGTAAAATATTTAATTCAATATTCAAACGTCTATATATTTTAAAAAGAATGACAATTTCAATTTATACTGCGCGCGCAACTTCGCATGCGCTGTTATTTATAATTTATTTTTCTACAGAAATTCAAAAGGTATTTATAAAGGTTTGTTATATATACAATATATATACATATACGCCACATCACTCCCCTCCGAGACCGTTACTACGGGCGATAGTAATCTGGAAATTTAACTACTCGTCCTGTTCTTGTTTTTATAATTTCTTTAGGTGGAGGTAAGGCGTCCAGAGGTTCATGTAGAGCGAGGCTGCGGTCATCTAATATGTAGGCAGGTTTCAAGCGATCTATTGATACAGTAACAGGTTTGCCTTTAACTAATAATTTGTATACTTTTTCAGATTTCTCCAGGACAGTATATGGACCGGTATATGCTGGTTGTAAGGAAGCTCGAACTGCATCTTCTCTTAAAAATACATGTGAAGCTGTTGGTAAATCCTTATAAATAAATATGGACGGTTTTGTATGTCTTGATGCAGGGGAAGGCTTTAAGTTATTAACAAACGAACGTAAGCGGGCAGTGTATTCTGTAACGTCTGTTGTTCCAGCTGTGCTTGGGTCGAAGAATTCTCCCGGTAATCGCAGCGGTTCACCATAGACTAGCTCTGCAGTGCTTGCTTGTATGTCCTCTTTATAGGCGCTTCGAATCCCGAGCAGAACTAAAGGTAAGACTTCCATCCAGTTCTCTGTCGCATGACAGGTAATAGCGGTCTTCAGCTGTCTGTGGAATCTTTCTATAACACCGTTACTTGCAGGATGGTATGCAGTAGTTCTCTTATGCTGAAATCCTGATATTTTTGAAAGATGTTGAAACAAAGAAGATTCAAACTGTCTGCCGCGGTCTGTAACTATATCCACCGGAGAACCAAATCTTGATATCCACCCAGCAAGAAAAGCTTTAGCAACTGTTTCAGCTGTAGCATCGGGTATTGGTATCACCTCAGGCCATCGAGTGAATCGATCTATAGCAGTGAGGCAATAGCGATTTCCATTACAGATTGGAAGTGGTCCGATGAGATCTATATGGACATGCATGAATCGAGCTCGTGGCAGCTGATAGGTGCCTAAAGGTGAGGATACATGCCTAGTTATCTTAGAACGTTGACAAGCCAGACATGTACGCGTCCACTTTCTGCAGTCTTTTTTAATCCCTGGCCATACGTAGCGTTCTGCTACTAACTTGATTGTTGCATTAGCACCAGGATGACTCAATGAATGCAGGCTATCAAAGACTTGTTTGCGTATGGACTTTGTTACGTAGGGTCTAGGAATTGGAGTGCTCGCATCGCAATATAATTCTGCATGCGTTCCAGGTATCTTCACCTTCTCCAAACGTAATGAAGTTCCATGTTCTAACAGATTCTTTAATTCTGGATCAGCTGCTTGTGACTCAGCAAGTTGAGAGAAATTGATCGACAGTTCCACCTCTTCCACTCTACTCAATGTGTCTGCGACTAGGTTGTCCTTTCCCGAGATGTGTCCCAAGTCAGTTGTAAACTGGGATATAAAATCCAGATGACGAAACTGTCTCGGTGAACATTTATCCCTGCGTTGGTGAAAGGCGTAACACAATGGTTTATGGTCTGTAAAGATCGTGAAATCCCTGGCTTCAACCATGTGTCTAAAATATTTTAATGCTTCATACACAGCAAGCAGCTCTCGATCATAAGGAGAATATTTTTGCTGCGCTGAGGTTAGCTTACGTGAAAAGAAGGCTAACGGTTGCCAATCTTCATCTTTATATTGTTGCAAGACGGCTCCGATTGCAGTTTCTGAGGCATCTGTCACAAGACCAAGTCTGCATTGGCAATCTGGATGAGCAAGAAGTGTAGCGCGGCATAGACTCTCTTTGCAATCTTCAAAGGCTTGAAGGGTATCATCACACAGGTTGATAGGATAAGAACCTTTAACTGAGCCAGTCATGAGAGCATGTAGAGGTGCTTGAACTTCAGCAGCGCTGGGAATGAATCGTCTGTAGAAATTCAGCATCCCTAAAAATCTGCGGAGTTCTCGAACTGTCTTGGGAGGAGGAAACGATTTGATCGCTTCAACTTTCTCATCAAGAGGTTTGATACCATTGGCTGATATATTATATCCAAGAAATTTTACTTCAGACCGACCAAAGTTACATTTTGAAATATTGATGACAATTCCGTAATCTTTCAATCTATTGAATAGTATACGCAGGTGCTGCTCATGAAGATCCTCATTTTTGGAAAAGACTAAGAAGTCATCAATGTAAGGGTAAACAAAATCCAATCCACGCGTCATTTCATCAACAAAACGCTGAAAAGTCTGCCCAGCATTTCGTAAACCAAACGTCATGGCAGGAAATTCATATAGCCCGAACGGTGTTGTGATGGCAGTCTTGTGGATATCGCTTGGATTTACTGGGATTTGATGATAGGCTTTGACAAGATCTATTGTTGAGAATACTGTGCAACCTGCTATACTGTGTGTGAAGTCATGAACATGTCTAACTGGATATCTGTCAGGAATGGTGCGAGCATTTAGCATTCGGTAATCTCCACAAGGCCGCCACCCGTTATCCTTCTTCGGTACCAGATGTAATGGCGAGGCCCAGGAGCTTTCCGATGGTCGAGCAATACCTAATTTAATCATAGACTCGAATTCTGCCTTTGCGATTTTTAATTTGTCTGGCGCTAGACGGCGTGGAGTACAATAAATTGGAGGTCCGGGCGTAGTCCTGATGAAGTGAACGGTATTGTGTTTGATATCAGCTTGTTTTCTGGATGGATTTGTAATTTCAGGAAATTCCTTCAGGATTTGGTCGTAGCGAGACTCGCCGATTGGTATCTTGATAGAAGAAATTGCAGTCGACGAGTGTGCAGGAGAGCAAACGACGGACAGTGTCGTCGTGTTGTCTAACAATCGTTGGTTACGTAAGTCTACTAGAAGACCATAGAACTTTAGAAAATCAGCTCCTATAATCGCCTTAGTGACGTCACCAACAATGAAACGCCATGGGAAATCACGGCGCAAACCAAGATCCAAATCCAGGTGAGTATATCCAAATGTGCTGATCGTAGTACCGTTAGCAGCAGAAAGTTGGAAATCTGATTTAGGACGACGCTCATGCAGTGCTCGTCGTGGGAAGACACAAACATCGCTTCCTGTATCGATTAGAAATTGCATCTTCGACCGACGATCTACGACGAACAGGCGACCAGACGTGTTGGGACGGCCGTTCGTCGCCATTACCGACCGCCCTGTGCATTTCCCGCCTGATAATCACAAGGCTTTACGCATCGCTTTGCTTTAGATCCATACTTTGCATGATACCAACACTTCGGGAATTTTCTATAGTTGGATTCCGATCGCGTTTCAGAGCGGCTGCGACTTCTCTGACAGGAACGGGGACGAGACTGACGATCCATAAGCACTTTCATCTGCCTCCGGAGTTCGGCTATCTCGTTGGCCATAGCGTCAAGTGATGATCCACATGTTGATGCAGCTGACACTTGCGGAGTAGCAGGGGCGATATCCTGGATACGGTCTGCTAAATCAGAGAGCACCTCCAGTGACGCTGTAGGTTGAGCAGCTATCACTGTCTGTACGTTGCGTGGTAGCCTACTTGTCCATATGGTCTTGAGAAAGTCCTCTGGCACGTGCGGTCCGGCGAGGCTTTGTAAATGCCGTAAAAATTGTGACGGGCGACGGTCTCCCAATTCCTCATGCATAAGTAGTTGTTTTACCTGCTTCTCGCGTGAGGCACTTAGACGTTTGATAAGTTCAGTTTTCAATTTTTCATACTTTTCCGTCGGAGGTGGTGAAATAATAATGTCCTTCACTTCCTTTGAAAATTGGTGGTCAAGTTGTCCAATAACGTAGTTAAACTTCGTTGCATCTGCTGTTATATTTGAGACGGCGAATTGGCCTTCAACCTGAGCAAACCATATTTCGGGTTCCTCCGGCCAAAATGGCGGAACTCGTATTCCCACTTTAAATATTTCGTCGTTGTTGTTAGACGATGCCATTGTAATATGCGTTTTTACGGGGTCACCAGTTATGGGAAATGAGTAAGTAAAATATTTAATTCAATATTCAAACGTCTATATATTTTAAAAAGAATGACAATTTCAATTTATACTGCGCGCGCAACTTCGCATGCGCTGTTATTTATAATTTATTTTTCTACAGAAATTCAAAAGGTATTTATAAAGGTTTGTTATATATACAATATATATACATATACGCCACACCTCCTACAAATGGTAATCCCTGATTGTTGCCCTGCCTGGGAGGTAAGGGATTGTTAGTAATAAAGATTTAACAGCTCATTGCTAGCAATATACCTTATCAGATCCACCTCCATACGGTTCTCTTTGGAAATCATCATGGTTGATTCTTAAATTTGGCACGATGTCCTGTCCTGTTTCCTGTCCTGCTTTCATTCCCACCTATCATCCCTCACTGGTGTCCCACCGGGGAGAACGGATTGTTAGTAATGAAGTTTACTAATCCCCTTTGGTAGCAATATATGTCAGGTCGATATCCACGTAGTCCTCCCTGGAAACCATCTTGCTGAATTCCAGGTTTATTCATCACGATGGACTAACCGACCTGCCTTTTCATTTTCACCTATCATCCCTCACTGATACCACGTCAGTCACTGATACCGTTAGCGTTATCTATTAAAATAATATAAAAAAATACTGATGTCTCACCAGCGTTTGCCGAATTCCGCAGACGGGGTTACTATTCCATTTTCGTCTATTAAAACCAGAATTAACTGGTACCCGCTTCAGGTTGTGTGCGGAGCTTTAAACTATGCACAAAGGCCTTTATTAAGGGGCCAGGCTGTCTTTGGAAAATAATCTTAAACACGCCAATGATTATAAAGGACTAGTTAACGAACATCTGGGACGACAACCCAGAGCAACCAGATCCGAGCCAATTTAGAAAAGTACATTTTCAATATTAGTCCGACCGGGAATCGAACCCAGGACCTCATTTACGCAAAACAATATTATTTTGTTCCAACACTGCGTCACCAAAGTCGATAATAATTATGAGGTAAATAAGTGTCACTAATTAAACTGGGATATATAAAAAAAAAAAACAAATAATAAAATCTGACAACATAAACCGAAAGTCAGTTTAAAAAAGTTAGGTTTTTAAATTATTTTGCAATAAAATCGAACTCGGGACTTCATACAAAACATCGAACTATCACTATAGCTTCAGTCTACTATCAGCTTGTTTGCCATTCTAAGTTGTATAAAAAAAGGCAAGTGATGCCTATTTTTAATCTTTCACCTGATAATAAGACGTGCTACCTTCTTATTCATAAAAACGTTAAACCACTCATAAACTTATTTTAGCTAATATGTTTCTTTATTTTTTTTTTTATGCTACCTAAATATTTCAATTTGAAAGAAAGTGGCATAGCAGTTTAATGTAACGTTAAAAGAAATTATAAAAGTTGAAGTTTGTTAGTAAGGGGGTCAATGTTTATGTTTTTTTTTTTATAAGTTCCTGCATGCTTATGCAAAAATTATACCCATGGCAATTATGTGTCTTTACGCAGGCGCAGCGCGGAGGGCGGTCATTGCGCGCGACCGCAGTATGTCATCAAGCAAGTCTCCGGGCTCCGATACGGTCACAGAGTACCTTTACACTGTACGGTAGTGCTCCCGCGACGAACGGCGTGATCGGACGTACGGTCATGCGAGAGGCAGCTGGCAGAATGGCCGAGCTCGAATTCGAAGCACCGCTCGCTCAAATCGAGGAGGCGGACGATTGCCTTACTACGGCGGATTACCCACAAAAAACAATAAATGGCAACGACATACGTCTCAACAACATTAACAATCTTAAAAGTGAAATTAATAAAATACAAACTGACTCCAATAAAATAAATGATAACGATGAACCGAAACCGGTGAAGTGCAAACAGGACAATATGCGAAATGGGGAGGGTGATAACTTCACGGAAACTTTCTCCGGCTCGCTGGAGGACCTGGTGAACACCTTCGACGAGAAGATCACCAAGTGTTTCGGCAATTACGAAGAGAGTGTGGAAAAGCTAGCACCGGTCCAAGTTCGCTCGCAGGAAGAAATAATGAACGAGTGCCAGTGAGTATTAATTACCGTTATGGAGAGAAACATTAATTATGATATCACCTCTGGGATTGTCAGTGATAAAGAGCTGCTGTGATTCATTAATTAGGTCACATGTTTGTTTTGGGTGGTTACCAAGTGCAAAATTTTGCACAATTGCAAGGTTTGAGTTAGATAAAAATGATAGTTAAGTTAATATTCGGAAATATAAACAAAAAGGGTGGGCTTTGCGCATGGCAGTAGTGGTCGAGATCGATCGAGTGTAGCGCCGGGGGTGTGCAGAGGGTGCGTGCCAGAGGGTGGTACCGATGACGCATCACACCCGCACGACCCTCTTTTTTGTTTCCAGCCTAATTTGGCGGGTCGAGACACTATAACGCACGTGTATGTAAATGTACTGTGACATATTTTTATTTATCTATGGAACAGGGTCACCAAAGTTTTAGAAGGAAAAAGTAACAGATTTCTTTTAATAAAAATCAATTTAAAAAGACATAGATTCCCACGATTTTAGTTTTCTTTTATTTAAATTCTAATCTGTCACGGCTCATCGCAATTTTTCTCTGAAGTTTTTGTTCGTCGTAGACAGAACGTCTTCTATAATATCTCAAAGCTTGTTACAGATACATAATGGCAAAAATTTCTCACATTTACCTATTGTTTTATAACTAATCAAATAATAAATAGTAGTGCTTCATCTTATGAATTACAAATGATGAGAATTAATTTTTCTTTTATATCTAATAGATAGGTACCTACTACATAATATTATGTCTGAGAAAGAAGAAACTTGTGAATTTATAATCATAATTACCATTGCGAATTACCTTATGTTACATAGATAATTAATTACATTATATAATTTACTGTTTGTGTTTTGATTTCTCGATGGAACTTCAGTGTATCAATTAAAATAATTAAAAAGTATATTATTTAAAAGAATGTACATAATTAATATATTTTTTAGCATAAATCTATATTTCGATAAAACTGATGTAGGTAGGTACCTAACTTTATAAGATAAATCCATTGACGTATTTTGTAAACAGAACTTTATTCTTCGTGTGTGAAACAAAATGTCTTGGATTGAATCCAGAATCCATATGACCCAAATGCCGGAGTTGTCAGAGAGAGTATTAAATTTTTCACGAAAAGATTTGCAAACATACATGTGATATGAATGAATATAATACAACTGGCGAAGATATTTTTATATAGAATACACAAAATGCTAGTTTATTTAAATCAAAATAAAGTCGACTGTGCATAGTACACGACCCTAAGGTAAGAAGGAAATTGCTGAATTTGGATTTTTGAAATTTTGCATAAAAATGAAGTGATATAATATATATAATAAAATCCCATAAAATTATTTTTATAAATATAGTTTTGCATGGGCTAAAACACTGAAATCTAGTAAAAATATAAATTCATGAAAATATACTATGTTGGCTCTTTTTTATAAATACATTTATTTATAATTTAACACTTGTTAAGAAAAATTAATATGAGGGGTCTTAATAAGACAAACAGACTATATATAGACCAAAACAGTAATTTTTAGATATTTTGTCAGTATGCTTGTTCCGAAATCACGCAAAAACTACTGCATCTAATTGGATGCGTTTCCCACAATTGTGTTACTATATATCCAATTTAAAATGTGTTCCAATTTAAAAATGTTTCATCTTGATACGCCATCTGAAAATAGTTTATTTCATTGGTTCTCCTACTTCTGAAATCCGCGCGTAGGAATTAGCGGACAAAAACCTACCAAGTTGTAAATAAATAACTATACAACAACACTTATTTATTTACTTAAATTATTTATTTATTATAATGCATTCATGTACATAATATAGAGTTGTTACAATGTACTTATGAAAAGGAAGTATATAAACCCTGTTTAACTATAGAAAAAAATAATCGATAGGCAGCTAATATACATGCATTAATGTCAATTTAGATGTTAGATTATATTTAATTGCTTCTACAAATAATTGCTCGTTTTTAAATAGATTTGTCATGCAATAATTTCGATTTACATTAAATGAAAGTGCCTTTATACTATAAGTCTGGCAGGTAATATCTTACAAATATTTTGAACGATTATTTAAAAAGTGGCTCCTTAATGCACTTTCGGGTAACAAATGATACTCCATTCACCTGTTCGTAAAAACCACATGTCATGACAGGTGCTCGCATTGATTCCATCCGTGATTCATGTATAAGGGGCACTGCAGATGTTTGACCACCTTGCTCGAAAATTTCAAGTACACCTTGCCGAATGTTTTGTAAGACAGTATTAATTTTAAGTAATACTTACGTTATTATAAGTGTTAACTTAAAATTACTTGCAAATATCGTTTGCTATAACTTTGTAAGTATACACACTTAGTATTAAGACCAAAAGGATTAAACCTGTTATGGTTTAATGTTTTGATTTATTGGTCGCTACTCAAACTAAACTATGCATTTGAAATATTGCTAAAAACATTGGCATGATGATATCTATGTGATGACAGTGTCCTGCTAATCCGAATGGCTGCTAGAACATATTACTTATATAAAAATTCATACCTAACAACAAATTTGCGACATTTTGTAATTTCATATATATATATTTACAAAAACAATCAGCAAAATTTACTCATTCATTTCCGTTCATTTTTTAATAATTGCATTGCATTACCATAATGTGTAATTACTATTCAATGCACACGGATGGGTTCCGTAGCAATTGTCCCCAAAAATAATTATTGTCGTCTGTCTCGAGCCGTTATTCTTAGTAATACATTTGCGATTTATAACATATGTACTTAATATAGATAGATATACGATACCTATATCTACCTCGTGATTTAATTTTGATAGGCATTTACAAAATTATATCAATTTATTACAACACATACTAAGAGAGATATCAATTGACCGATAATACATCGTTTGAATTTGCACAAATGTTCTAAAATTAAAAAAAAAAGCGCGGGAAAGAAAGTGTTACCTAACTAATTGAATATTTATATCTGTTATTTAGTTACTTCATTTAAACAAACAATATATAAATAAATTACTACAAATATGTAAATTTTTTAAGCAACTCGAAATAACAAACAAGATGATGCCTCATCTACGAATAATTAATGAGAGCAGTAACCGTCAACTTATACATATCATCGACATTACATAAAATACTATAACACAATCATGATGCATATATGAGTCAAAAATTTTCGTAATGATAAGTACATATATCTAATTGTAATCATAATTTATTAAACATTAACATTCGGGAGACGTGCATTTTTTTTAATAATCGACCGTGGCACACGACTCACGTCCGTCATTGATTTTATTATGAATACTAAATAAAATAAACTCCGCACTTTATATACTAAATTGTTTTTTCATCTTCATTATACTGACTACAGCTTAATAACTAATTGACCAATTTATGTATTTTGTATGATTAGTAAAAAAAACTACCCCTTCAATATAAAAAAAAAATAGATATTGAACAAATCTAAGTCCTTTGCCTTTATCTCCATCTTTTAAATTAAAAAAGAAAGATTCAAAGTTTAAAATCAAAACATCATCTTATGACTAGGCTGTATAGGCCATGTTCTTTGCCTGTCCAAATTTTGAAAGAATTTTAAAACAACACCAGTAAGCAAAGCATTGTTCATAATATCTAGGGACTCAAAATATGTGGCTCATTTAGATCTCCCTTTTTAATTTCAAGTAACCAATATACATATAAAAAGATTTTTATCCGATTCTCTATACTAATATTGTGAAGACGATTTTTTATATATTTGTTTATAATGAATAAATTCAACCGAATTTAAAAATTCCGTCACCTATTGACAGCTACATTATCAGCGAATAATGTAAGCTACATATAATTAAAAACAAAAATTAGAGATCCATACATAAATTACAACTATGTAAACTCAAAATATTGAAAATTTCCTAAATTAAAACTAATATAAAATAGTAATTTATCTTTCTTGATAGCTGTTGCATGTGTGAATAACCTGTGACCTTCCAACATGCGTATATTATTGGCGTGTTTAGAATTGATTTCATAATTAAGTTTCTAAAGTCTTAATTATTATATGCCCTAAATATGGTTGCGTGTCTGAACGCGTGAACCGTGAACCATAAAATTATATTGATCTCACGAAACATTTTACCTAAATCCTATTAATCCTATCCTATTAATATAATAAATGAGAAAGTTTATAACGGACGGATGGATATTTGTTAATTTTTCACACAAAAACTACTGAACGAAATAGAATGAATTTTTTTTAAATGAAATTAATTAATTTTAAATTGTACACGGGAAAGTAGTCTCTTGGGGAAACTTCTGGGCATTCCATAAATTCAGACTTTCATATTTGGTAACACACACCTAATACCACCAAACGATCTATTATTTTCTTGATCACACAACAGTTAATACTTTCTATTAAGTGGACTGTCACCTTATATGCTACTCCCATTAACCTAGTATAAAAAAGAAATATAAATACTTTTTAATTTTAAATAAGTTTGGATTCTCGCCAAGCTGTAAATTATAAAATGTTATGAGTATTCCTATCGACTGTAATATATTCAATATAGGCAGTTAGATACCTGCTCAATAGTCATATTATAGTTGTTTGCTTACTACAGAGGCATCACAATTATTTTACAATTAGGTGATTACAATGTAAATAAGGTGTTTATTTAAATACAATACCATTTAAAGTGTTGTGTAAAAGTGTTCTTTACTGTTTCAATTTGCAAGTTTATCAGTTCTTCCTCAGCGGAAGTGCGGCCTGGATGCATCCATCGCAATGAATTTGCGTGTTAATCTACCTATAACTTTACTTACTTAGCGCAGCATTATGACAACACTAGCTTTTATTCGCGACTTTATCTGCGTGAATGGGTTATATTCATTCACCGTCATAAACATAAATGCCTATATCCGTCTCCAACCCACGTAGTATGTATATACTAAGTTT